GAAATTTGTTTGGTGCTACATATTTTTTTAAACAAGAAATACAATTTTGGGGGTTTGGGTTCCGCTTTTTTTGTTACTCATCCCGTTTGAAGCGACCTCGCGCGACAGCTCGTTTCGACAATGTAAATTTTTTTTTGCCGTAAGTTGCAGTACTGGGTTTTAGCTTTGCTGGGTTTTGAGCAGCGGTGTTAGTACATTATCCATGTTTTCTTCTTCCCTCTTCCTTTCCCGTTCCCTCTCCGTTCATCATTTTCTATTTTGCCAAAAGCACCCATGATTTTACCGACAAAACTGACCAATGAGGGGGGGGGGGGGTTGACACCTCCCCCCCCCCCCCCCCCCCCCCCCCCCCCATAGCGACGTTCGTCCGAAAATATTCGGTCTCTGGTCGGACCAATGTTCCGGACTTGACGCGGCCACGCGGCTTTTTTTTTTTTTTTTGCTTTTTTCTCTTTTTTTCTTCAAGCTTGGATTGTACAGACAAGGTGGGTACTATATTGCTTTTTTTGGTGTCCTCATGTACATTGGTGTCCTCCAAAATTTGCCTTGGTGCTTTCGATCATTTGCCTTGGTGCAATTTCCCATTCCTTGGTGCTCTTCAGTAAAAAAAAATTGAGGAGGTGCAGAAATAGAGGGCGCTGTTGGATCTTCCGCGGAACATTTTTGGAAAAAAAAAGATCGACGCGCATGATTAAAATCGACGCGCGCGCTGACCAGAGACCGACTTATTTGTTTTTTTTGGCCTTACAGTACGTATTCACTGTGTGGACTTCCGAACAAAAGATGTTCACATAAACCAGGTAGCAGCGACGTTGTTTCCCTTTCTCTGAAAAACAGGTTTAGAGGCATTTTAGAACAAATATTGGGTTGAAAGAGTTTTCACAGTGTGAGTAAAATGACACGAAAACAAAAGAAAACAAAAGAATGTCCACAATAGGTACGTAACGTAAACATGGGTGCGTGTGTGAACGTATACACACACATGTAAATCGAGGAATGTTTTTCTCATCGATTTTTTTGTTCACAACTCCTTTTCAACGGCTCACATTGGTTTTTTACACGTTTTCTTATCAAGGACGTCCTCGATTTGATACACACTGTGATCCGCCGCGCCAGCGCTTATCCCTTTCAGTTCCTAGTAACGGACAACGTTATGGACGATAAACCATTTTGACTTTCGTCATGTGCATAAAATGGCACCCCAAAACACCCAGTCATGTTTAACTCACGGATTTCCTTTTAACGACTACGGAGTAAAGATGAGACCTTGGTGATCCCTTCAAGGAATAAAAACGAAATGTTATGGGGGCGTCATTTGTTGGTGCTTCTACACGGCAAGTGGTCGCGTCACTCGCGTGCATGCAGGATTCACTGCTTGATAGAACGAAGCGAATACAGATTCTGTTTCTAGAATTGGTCTTTCGATACTGGACTGTACATGTTTGGCATAAAACAAGAGCTTCATAACGTCTGTAGAAAACAGCAAGCGTATAGGGACACAGACCACCGTACGCTCTCGGCTCTCGTCCCCCGTCCATCCGCCCTGTTTTTCTCTTGCCTTAAATACTTATGTGGTGTCACATGCGCATTTCTCTAGTTTCGACACTGTATACATGTGGATACTGAAATAAGGGAGCTATAAATGACATTCATATATATTTTTTTCATTCACAGTTTACAAGTAAGCCCGCTACAGTCTTTTTGGTCACGTAGTTATGGTAAGTGTTGTGCTAGCCCGTGTTCAAGTGTTTTTGGTGTGCTCATTTGCAATTTTGGTGTTCATTTTTGCTGCAGGCAGCCATTTTGACAGTACTACAATTTGTCACGTCTAAAACTTTAGACAGCAAATGGTAATATACCAGAAATATACTGTTACATGAAATAATCAATCGAATGCAAGTATTGAACATTGGTAAAGTGTGTCAACTGAATAATTTTTTAGCAAGTCTTGGTTTCATACATTCTATACAAATAGACCATCAGACTACTTAATAGCCATATTTAAAAGGATAGAATGGTGCCAGTCTAGCGTGTGCTTCAAAATTTAAAATAATTTTCTTCAGCCTAATCTCAGGTGAACGATGCTGAAGAAAACTATAAAACGTTTGAATGGAGTTTTCAAATTTTGCTGTGGAAATGCCAAAGCACATCTTGTTTTTATTCATATAGGTGATTTTCCCTTCTGCTTTCTTTCAAAGGTGATTTTAACCTTCGGCACCCTATCAGTGTGGATCCAACTGAACTCGAACAGATCTAAGTTGCTGATATGCCGAGTTGAAAATGTATTTGCTACATTACCATTATACTTAACTTAACCACTTTTTGAAACAAAACGTTCCTTAAATATATTTTAACCTTACATCATTTTGTACAGTAGTGATTCATTATTAACAATAACAGATTGGCCTAAGGCAGATCACGTCATTCCGTTCCAATAGGCATACTTATAAAAATGTTGAAGACAAATGATCATTTGAATTTTGTTTAAATCTGAAAACATATTCCTGGAAAATATCAGGAAAGGCGACATTATATATGAATTTCTTTATGATTGTGGGAATACGTTTTCCATAGCACATTAAGTATTTTTAGGGGGGGGGGGGTGGCAGAGGGGTTGCCTTCCCGAGGTGTTTGTACACAACCCAAAGGCCCAAAGCAATGAACCAAGATACTGCAACACAGGTTTGATGATCGCGCAGTTTCCGATCACCCTTTGTGTTTGGTACACATTCTTCTTTGTTGATTTCTTTGTTAAAGATGATGTAATGATGACGTCATCAAATATCAAATTACAAATGGCATTATTTCAATTATTATTTGTTTCAGGTTGGGGTTGGTTTTGTTTAATTATATATTTAACAGCACGTAAAGATTAAATTATACTCCTGTAATACACTTTTTTTGGTTATAGGGCCTAATCCTTACCTCAGCTGACTTTACGGGTTTTATACAGGGTAATGTTTTCCTGGGCCCTCTTCCAAATTCTTCATCTTCTTTCAATTAAAATCTTGGACCTGGGGAGAACATAAAAGGCTAATCGGGACACCAACCATCATTGGTTTAAAAGCAAATGTTTTGAATAAAATTTGTTCGCACATGAAATCTCTGCAAATTTGTTATGAAAGGTTTGGACTTTGAGATGATGTTCTTTAATGTGAAGGAATTGTAAAGGATTCACTAGTTTATAATGTCTGTAAATTATACACATAGTGTGATAACTATGGAATCCTTAAATGATTTCGGATTCCTGATTTCTTAAGAAAACTTTTGTAAGAATTACCATGAAATGGGTACTTGAGTAGAAGTCGCTTGAAAATAACAATTGGGCCAATTTTTTAAACTTTGAGTATATTTTTCAACCTGCGAGCTATATTTTAGAAGTATGTTTGTAACGCATTCTCTATAACTTTTTATCTTTCAAATTATTATTTTTCGTGATATAATGGAAATATACAAATGCACGCGTAATAGGGATACCACCAGGTCACGAAGCAATACCTATAAGGGAGAGACTGAGGCGGTTTCCTCGGAACAAACAGGAAACAATAAAAAAACACATCGACAGGTGCATGACTTTCTGCGGAATGCATTGCATGGATTAAACCATCCGACAGCCATGGCCAACCAGCATAGTTCTTGTGAATAAAATGAACATTGCTCATATTTCATGTCTGCTTTTCAAATATGTAATAATAAATTATAGTGTGGTGTCAGTGTAATTGTTTAGATTACATTTTGGCAACGTTTACCGGAAAACATTTCATCAATTAAATTTGTAAAAGTGCATTGTAATCCATACATTTTCCACCTTAAATTTTCACCAAATCATCACTGGGAATCATGTGTACAAAAAGATAATGCTTTACAACCACAAATATGTTTTAGTTATCGTAAATAAATTATGGTGTTTATTGTAACGCCAATGTACTTAGCTTTTGCTCATAATTGCAAAATAGGTTTTATGGCCCATGATTCTATTTGGACTGTTTACAGGCTTGGGTTCAGGTTTACTCCTTTTTTTGTTTTAAGTGGGTTTGTTATCTAAAGCGTTTGAGATGGTTTGTGGTACGGTGTACAAATAATTCATTTAATCAGAGTTTTGGCCGGAATAAAATCATTATTCAAACTACTTTTTTCTTCGTTGACGTGACTTAATAGACTCATTCATAATTATCTCCATTGAATACTGCTGTTCATTATGTTTGGTTGTAGTTAAAAGAGATTCCAATTTCAATGCATATAATCTGTGGCGCAATACACATGTATACTATAGTACCACTTTCATGTACCGGGTAAAGACGTTCCAGCTCAGTTTTCTAATAAAGTAATGCATCTAAATATGCATCTTTTATATCGGACAAAAAGTCTGATGGATTTGGAACAACAAATCTTTAGTAAAGTGTGGATTCGGCATTGCGATTACATGTACTTGTACTAAAACTAGCGATGAAAGGTTTTCTATCCGAAAATACTTCTTTCACTTTGTTATATGTTACAAGAAATGTTTATCTTTTACGGTAATACCTCTAGTGAAACACCTCCAATTGTACTCATATATATCCAATATAGTAACATCTTCAATAACTGAAATAACATGAATGCAACCGGCAGGCAGGGAAGGGGGGAGGAAAATGAACACTTTTATCGTTCAGCCGTGCTCAACTTCTTTAGAAAACAGTCAAGACGAAAAGAAAACACACGTTGCACCCAACCGCATAAGAATAGGCCTACTGTTACAGACGTAGTGAACAGCAGGAACAGCAGAATAACTTGGAACCGTAAAAGTCAGTAACAGATGAGGTATAGAAGTCGCTTCAACGGCTTGTTCGGTAGCACACTCGCTGTCACCAGTGTACCGTATGAAATAGTCTCGATGTTGACTGTACAATAATCTTAATTGTTGTCGACTTAAGAATCATACCACGGTTTGAAGGATAGACACCGGTGTAAGTTCAGCTATATTATGGAGAAAACAAACAAAAGACACAAAATATAGAGCCTCTTTTGATAATCACCAAATGCAATCTCTGTTGAGCCAAGGTATATGAACAATACAATTCAGTTCTGTTGTTATAATTAATTTTACACACAATCTGCAAATTGATATTGTTTTTTGGATGTTCACAGATTTTAGGGGCCATTCAGATTAATCAATGTTTACAAATTTCGATATTTTTTTTCTCGAAACTGTGAATGGATTGGCTGAAAATCGAATTTCAGTGATTATCCCACAAAATAACAGTGGCCTCTTCGAAATCGTCTGTTATTTTCCGTCAGTACAGGAACGTTCCCTAATTGATCCTATGATGATCCCATTTCAAGGGAATTTACTGAATCCTTTAATATATTCTTGGAGAATCCTACATGACTCCAAATATCAATATATAAACATTTTGCTCCAAATAAATTGGTTATTTTGTAAACAAGGGCAAAACGATACTCGATTTCTTCTGAGTCTTATTAGTAAACAGACATGATATATCGCTGGCGACTATTAAGGGCATTCCAGACGCCTGGAAGCAATTAAAAATGTTCATATCCCCACTCTAGTCGGATCTTGCGACAGAGAATGGTATCCCACCGCTACACGTTTACATGTGCCTATAGACCCCTCGCACAGGGCGCCCTCACTGTGGTCTGGTCTTTGGTCTTCTGTGATACGCAAGAGTAGTCAATGTGCACTTTCATTGTCATGAAACTAAGGGCATTCTGTGCAAGGGGTTCATGTCAATAGTACGTCGTAGAAGAGTAACGTCACGAGGTATTGTCTCCAATAGTGATGTGCCCAAACAATGTCTCGTTGGCCGCCAATTTTACCATAATGCATGGGAGATTTAGGTGAACATTTTCTAGCTGAGATTTCTCAGACATTTAGAATAAATAAGACTAGAAAATTGTGCTTCGGTGCTTCGTAGCTGACTGTAGTTATCATTCAGAACGGATTTTATTTTTTCTTTTCTAACGGATGAAAAAGTGATGAAAACGTGGGCTCCGTGCTATCGCTGTAGGGCTTGTATTTGTGTAGCAACGCGTGACCCCGGCGGAGTATGACACAACCACTTCTATGGCGTATAGCAAAAGCTTCACCTAATGAAAGTGTTAATCTATCAATGCTGATTCGAGAACACTATCATGTAATGTCTCACATGCAGTCATGAATAAGTAGAATCTTTCCGATTATCATTGTGCCTTGGAGTGTTAGGTGTCAGTTGCATATTTAGCGACAACGAACTTCGTGAGTGGTGATTTCATTGGATGTTCGCATACGGAACCCGTGACCTCTTCCGCTTCGTCATGATAGCGGCAACTAGGACGATGACGCTGATGATGACCCCCAAGCACCCTATCACTATTCCGATGATCCAGTTTGTGTCGAAAGGACTTGGCAGTGTTGGGAAGGGCTTCTTGGTCGTCGTGGGCGGGGGAGCCGTCACCTCGGGACAGGTCTCCACTTCAATTAAACATAAAATAAAAATAAACAAAGAACATAAACCAAAGGTTGATTTTTAAAACCTCAGATTCAATGAACTGGGACTGAACCGTCTGTGAAACCAGGGAGCGCTGTTCAAAAATGGACAGAACTGGACACTTATGATACTAGGTGGTATTTTTCATGAAGCCTCTCGCCAATATCACACGATTTTGCTGACAGGAATTACGAATGGGTGGCGTCACTTGATTTTTTTTTACTTTACAATCATGGATGGTGCCATGGACACAACACCACAAAAAACAAACTCCTTCCTTCCCCCTGAAACTGGACATTCTACGTACCAAAACTAATGACTCCACTTACCCTCGCCAAAATGTCCCTTGTCAGACGATTTGTCGGCAAACGGTTGGAACATGACGTTTTCCATGATGAACTGTGATGTGGATGCACCTGGAACTCTCAATGAATCACACTTATAGGTTTTGCCGATTGTACCCTCTGCAGTGTAGAGCAAAAAAATATCCTTCTTTATTACGATGTTAAATTTGAAATGTAAACTTTCAAATAAAGGCCACTCATACGTCCTGCTTTTTGTTCACAGGTAGAAGCATTTCACATGTACATTTCACTGAGTACTAAACCTTTTTGTTTTTCCAAATGTTGAATCACATTTTATCAACTAGGGTTTTTTTTGCTGGGGGGGGGGGAGAAGCAACCAATTGATTCAAAAACCGTAGTACGCACCGTATGTGGGGTCCCATGTGTTGGCTGTGCGTGTCTTATCTGAAAGGTATCAAAAATCGTAATTAAACGCAACATATGTCACACTGATTTAATTAAGCCTAAAATAAAACGCAACAAACATTGAACACATAGTAATTATGACAATAATTGTCGCATATGGAAATCAAACTACCGCACTGCATGTGTGATGTTAAACTGATTTCAATTTGTTTCCAGAACCTGACCCATGCTTTACATTTAAAACCTGGGGTTTTGCAGTGTCGGGGACGGAGAAATGGATATTGTCTCTTTTATGACTTGGCTTACAATATTCAGAGTAGGCCTAAGTTTTCTTATTATGATTTCTCTCTTTTTTGGGTGCCATTATAATTTTAGTTCCAGTAAAAACCACCACTTTTTTATGGCCTTTGCCTAAAGTAATATTACTCAAACTTTATAACGACGAAAGTTACCCTTGTCCAGAAAGGTATATATACTTACTATAAAAGCCGGCATCTGGCTCAAAGCAAGACCCAATATAGTGAAAAATCACCGTGTTGTTATTGAAATAGGTCGTGTCTGTTGCTTCAGGGAAGGATAAGGTCCAGGAGACGCAGTATCGATCCTTGGATGGATACCACAAAGTGAAATTCCTCGGACCATCACCCTCGCAAGAGCCCTCATAATCCGCAGCGTCGGTTACCGGCAGTGTGTTGTATCGACGCTAAACAATCGAAAAGAAGAAAAATCAAGTAACTTCACATTAATCGATACTGAGGACTCAAATCTTCGAAATAGGAAAGTCAATAAATACGTTAGTTTGTACAAGAATCGCGCGGTAGCGGATTATATATCGCAGTAGCGGATTATAGGCACGGGCTTCCCGGGCCTGGGCCCAGGACCTTCCCGTATCTTAGGGGAAGGAAACAGTATATTATTTGAATACGTACGTCGAAATCCGTAGTCAGATAACTGAGTTTGATGGTAGCATTGAACACCAGTAACATACACACATCGCCTGCTGATGTCTTCACTTGGAATCTGTGAACGGAAATTAAAACTCATATCTCATTGTCGTCAGCAGCAAAAATAAAGACCAACCATCCATTTAAATCGAAGTCGGGATGGGCGGGCAACATGACTTAACGCCTAGATGTTGTCACACAATTAACGTTTAAAAAGCACTACGTTTTATTGAAGGTGACACGTACCGACCCTCCAAAACATGTATTGGACGTCATATTACCGGGAACAAGAGTTTAATCCTTCTGGAGTTACACGTCACGCTCATGCGAACAGTCGATCTGCTTTAATATCCTACAGAAATTCGAGCACGCTCCATTGTAGGCCTGTACACTCATCACAGAGGCCCCCTTGAATGGCGAAAGCATTGTGCCAGCTATTGTTCAGATAACATCCGTCACGGGGCAGTTGATTTTGTACAATACATGGCACAATGCTATTTCGTCATTCAAGGGGACCTCTAGTGAATGCACAATGATAGCGGATGCGTCTATAAAAATAACCATCGTTGAGAAATTGCAGATCGTCTATCACGGTTTCCGTTGGTTGCATTTGTCGCCACTGTCGGTGGTCGCCGCCATGCTGCGACATTATTTTCGTGTCAATGGTTATCTATAGCTCCGTCATGAATTACATACAAAACGTGTCTATAGAGAGCCAGCAATGAAACCATGCCCCGTGGTCCGGTTGATTTAGATGACGTGATTAGTCCAAACTCCTTATGATGGGCGGTGACTGCATGTGCTCTGCCTGTCTGACTATGGGTGATATTCTTAGATTTACCTGGGAATAACAGGACCTTGGGTAGCTGTAACACCATCAGTGCTCCGTGAGGCAGTGCTCCCTGAGGCAGTGCTCCCTGAGGTATTACCGGCCGCTGCGGTAGAGCCTGAGGTAATACCGACGGTAGTACTCATGCTTGTTACTACATTAGTAGACGGCTGCTGTGTTGGAACATTGGTAGTAACACTTGCACCAGGGGTCGTGCACTGCACTTCTCCACCTATGAAGAAACAGTGGTTTAATAGTAGGCCCCTCGTGTGGAGGATAGTTGTGCAGGTTGGCGCACTTGGTACTTTCCCCGGCTTCCATGTCTGTGACCTAGGTTCGAATCCCACCGGCCCAGGCCAACAATTTGGATTGAGTTAAATTTGGCCTCGATGAACTCTGACGCAAGGTAAGACATTGACTTGCATTGCAGCAGGCAATCAAGACAGACAAGGAAGAATCGTCATCATGACGAGCCGCGACCAATGAGGCTGGCGTGACCCGTTGCCTGTCCTTCACTTTTACGAAGACAGGTATTTAATATAGGTATTGCATATACTATTTACAAACATTTAAAATCGAAACTGCCAAAATGTTATGATATGCGGCCTACTCAGTGATTGTATGTATAAATACTAGCATCAAGCAAAGAGATTTATCGCATTGTGCTACCGTAAATCTTCATCTTATTATTAGGCCTATCAAACATCATGTGCATTTGAAATAGTTGCGCCTGGAAAGCTGTCACTTTCAAGAAAGCCGGGAATTAAGGTTAACCATAATTTCCCAACGATGCTTGGGACCGATTTGGGAAAAAGGCTTTCTTTTTAGTACTACGTATATGAAGAGTGAGCCAGCCAACCATTGACTTCGTTCATAAGCTCGATTACGCTTTTAGGTGTATATTTTCCGACACAGCCGGCACTCAAGCCTGTGACCTGTGGGCTCCATAATAATATGTCCGACACAGCGAGCTGCACTTTACATGCTGTTGAAAACGAACAGCATTATGTTTTTCCCACCACCAATGGACTCAAAACATATATTATGCTATACCAATCCCCACATCGGCCCATTTCATAAACTTCAATGTTATTTATAGGCCTACTACCTTTAAACAGTGATAGCCAATGTCCCCCAGCTCCTGAGACATAGTTGGTTCCAAAAACACTAAGTACATTATACCCGCTTATTTCTTATATTTCTTTTCGTAAACACGGAAGTGGCGCTCATGACTGCAATATTGACTTATGCATGATAGCGAATATAATAAGGCACATATCATATGACCCGATGTCATAACCATAGTTGGAATGGAAAAAAATGGAAACGTCAGAGAAGGGATGTGCACCACATACTTTAAATGTGCATGCTTGATGTCATATATTCATGTACAAATTGACCTCCGCCTGCATGGCGGTGCCATTGTGCATGACTTTGTATTAAATTGCCCGCATGTCAAACACTAATGTAGCTGTGAATAGACACGAGGCAAAAATCATGCTTACCTGGGTACATTAAGAAGACGAGGAACATGAACATGATGCAGTCCATCGTGTTTGCCTGCGTAGCAGATCCAAGTGCAACTCGTGACTATAATGTACTGCTGAACAGTGAACGGGAAGTGCGCCGGTAAAATATAATGGTCACCTTGCATGTAAATAATATCGCGTAGTTCAAAATAGAGATAGGTCCACTGTACTATAATCCTAGGGGTCATACACTGACCTTGTGGTCTCTATAATCAGCCACTTGAAAAAATGTTACAGGTACAATTTTTTTTTTTACAGGAGATAGCTGCCGGAGTCACTAACACGAGATTTTATCTTCATGTAAACTTGAATCCACGATCCTGATTCTTCGATCCATTGCATCAGCATTGTGATAATTTAAAAATTGTTGACTGACCTGATGATGTTGGATAAGGCCAAAAAAAAAATAGTCGGTCTCTGGTCAGACCGAAGTTCCAGAATTGATGCGGCGACGCGTTTTTTGTTGTTCTTGTTTTTTGGTGTTTGTTTTTTTTCCAAGCCGATTGTACAGACAAGGTGGGTACTATTTTGCTTTTTTGTGTCCTCATTATACATTGGTGTCCTCCATAATTTGCCTTGGTGCCCTTTATCATTTGCCTCGGTGCAATTATTTCCCCATTCCTTGGTGCTCCTTGGTACAAAAATTTGAGGAGGTGCGGCAATAGAGGGCGCTGTTGTAGCTTCCGTGTTAATTTTAAGAAAAAAAAGTTGACGTGCATGATTAAAATCGACGTGCGCGCTGACCAGAGACCGAGTATTTTTTTTTTTGGCCTAATAATTGACGTACTGTTGGTGTACGTAGTTCAAGCTTCTAGGTTAAACTTAAAGATATAGTCACTCATTTGTAATTTGTGCATTTTTTTCGTTTGAAGCAACAAAAGTGTTCAAAATCTAATGAAAGATACTGAACAACTAACCTGATGAACTTTCAGCTCAGCTTCAGCTGTGTATTCCGAGAAAAACAGCATTCTAGGATCTCAATTTCAAATCAAAAGTTGCTGAATCATGTTTTGAATTGTTTTGAATTGCAGTTATTTGCGATGTCGCGCACTGATCTGACGAATTATAGCAACCGCGCGCGCCTGTTTGTCGTGCCAATGCTTGCACGCGCTGCGCCGAATAACAAAACGAACTACTAATTTAAATTTTCCTACGGTGCGTCTTAAGACGCACCGTTGGAAATACCTTCTTTCGTTGATTACTTCAAAATGATAGCTTGCCAGAAAGATTAATTTTACAGGGACTTTATTAGTCCACTACTATCTTTCAACCAAGTATGTTTTTCAACAATAATACGCCAGTTACTTTTTCGGATGGCTGCAAATGATGGACTATAGCTTTAATTACGCCTATAGTTTCTTCCGTAAAAAAAGTTATATTTTAGGCACATGTACTAGTATAAGAATCATAATAGTAGGCTAATGCAGATTACAAAATCAATTTATTCAATAAATAAATGTGGTAAGCATATGGGATGAAAACCGAACAAACTTAAAGAGGCTAATATAGAGAGTTTGTGGATGCAGGGATGTGAGAAAATGGGGATATGTGTGGGTGAGGGGGGGGGGGGCAGTGTTGGCTTGGTGGGTGGTTGACCACCAGTATAATTTCTATTCAGTCGGCAAATGAACCGCTACGGATAGGCATGAGTAAAGCTTTTGTGCATTAATTATAGATTAAAACAAAAAGAACCGAGTCTGAAACACCCGCAACGCCATATTATAATACTGGTTATTTTAGTGTTTCGGCTCACAAATTTCCAGAAGGAAAATCCTACTGGAACTTAAACCTGATAGGTCAGCTTTTATTAGTGGCACTGCCTGGCTGGAGATGTTCTGCACTAGCCCTAGCTCAGAATAGCCTACGGAATAGACAGCATTAAGCGTCTATGATATGCATGCAGATTATTTAAAACAACATTGCGTCTTAGTTGACCTCCAGATTCTGACCATTCAGCGAGCGCGTCAGTTCGGTGACCCGTTGTTGTATTACAACAAACATGGCAGCGAGTTGACCAACAACTTGGCCGAATTTCTGCTCTAATTGACGTCACAACTTCTAAACTTTGTACATGCACGGATGTATCAGACGTTCGTGTGGCTCTGCATACGGGCGTCTGAACCTCACACTAGCTCAGAACAGAATTTCAGGAAACTATCAGGAAACCCCAGTCATGCTCCTGCCATAATGACTTTCCGAAGTAGGGCCTACTTACTCGACATGAGCTGGTAAAGGATCCTCCTCGAAAGATACGACAGTCGTGGTTTCCAAAACGCCGCGCAAACAAATGACCCATGGCTTGTATGCAGCGAGCTAGAAGTATGCGATGTCCTGATCAAACGGCTTGGTAGGAAGGAGTCCAGATCACGTGAGATGTGGTACATGTGAAGAAACAGCTAGCTATAGCTCTGGACGTCTTGGGAAAGTCTGAGAGAGTACTGCGCAGCACCAGAGGCAACAGAAAGCATCCCTTCTTCCTTTTTTTTTTAACTTACGAATTTCTCTCGAATCACTTGCATAATCATAATAAAAAGCGATTGCCTGAAGCCGAGGCAACTTGTAATTGGCCTTGAGCAACGTGGTCGCTGCAACAACGCCGTTTACAGAGTAGATCCAAGGTTTTTGCCGTGAGGTCACATAATGTTGCTACTGTTAAAAATGAGTTTTGCAATTGTTAATTTTTAGATTTGCGTAAACTTAATAAACTGCTTCTAGGGTCGTGACGTGAATTTTTCTGAGGAACACATTTTGTGCGACTTCCTACTCCCCTTAAATGTATGAAAATAGTTGGCATCCCTTTTTGGTTAATTTTATTGAAAAGTGAACTTCTTTTAGAGTGATGCAAATTTGCAAAGTGATTTCAATTTGACTACAATGTAGATACATATCCAACATTTTGAAAAGATTGGCCAGTAGTCGGGTGACATGATAATGGAGAGAATGTGTAGAAACAAACAATTAGGTTCCACTAACCAGATGTGTCTTTTTGACAAAGTTTATACAGTACCAATGTGTCAGTCTATTGCCTTGTATTGCACTCTCATACGCAGTATTGAGAGTGCCAAATTTTTGGACTACTCTGAAGCCAAAACCAGAAACCTCCGTTTCACAGTCTCCAATACCACTAGTGGTAATAGAGAAAGCTACCACTTATAGAAACACAAGAATACCAATATCGCAGCGCAGAAAAGCCAAGAAACTCAGTTTATTTCCACTAGAAAACCACACAAAGTACCACTAGTAAGTTGGCAAGACGGGTAAAACACTGAATACTTCGTGCTTCAGGGATAGATACAAAATGTCTATACCATTGTTTACAGTTGTCGATTACCTCAGCTTCATCTGCTGCAGCTCAGGAACCGATGTATCTTTACAGGATACACTTATAACTGCAGATTGGGCTATGCCAGATACTTTGCAAAGTTCTACAATAAACAAATAAATGATTCAATGTTTACAACATAAGTTCCTAGAGCAAGTTAAAACAAACGATTCATTTATATTTTATATTTCCTCGTCATATAAGAGTAGGGGTAGTGTAATTAATCTGTTAAGACATAAGCAGTTTAATAACAAAATAAAATGTTTATTATTTATTCGACACTGCAAGAATTGTTATTCTTGTGTGCTCTAATCTCGAATTCGAAATGTTTGTTCACACTTGAAACTGCATGTACAGTCGACTCTCGTTAGTACAAACTCTGTTAATACAAAATTCTGGTTATAACAAACATAAAGCCTTGGTCCCGACTGAGCATTTATGTGCACAATGAATGGGACTGATGTTCCTCTTAATACAAAATTCTGATATAACAAACAATTTGGCTAGGTCCGAATGAGTTTGTATGAACGAGACTCGACTGAATTCTGTTTCATGCGCTGACCTCAGTTAATGGTTCTAGACCACCGAGGTTCTAGTTTACACAACAATGTGTCACTTCTTCCCACCCTACAAACAACTGGTCTAAATTTAGTCCTTATATACCCAATCCAACACATCTCTGTCAGAGGCGTAGCTAGGATTTTTCTTAGTTGGGGGGGGGGGGGGGGGGGAGCATCGAAATATCATGGGGGGCACGTATCGCAAACGTCCTACTGCAGTTTTCCCCAGCTGGGCCCCATAATAATAATAATAATGGAGTCTTATATAGCGCACGTATCCACCAACAATTAGGTACTCAAGGCGCTGGAAATTATGTCTATTATTATAAAGAAAGGTAAATAAAGTTGATGAGAAATATGAGACCCATTATGTAGCACCTTATAAGGTGCTGCGGCGCATATTGCAGCCACTGCCAGAAACACCGGGGCAAACCCCTTCTCTTAACGATAAGTGTTACTGAATTCTTTAACGTGCATTTACACAACACACGGGACCTACGGCTTTACGTCCCATCCGAGGGACGAAGCAATAATGGTAAAGCGCCTTGCTCAAGAGCACAAGCACCATGTTCCCTCGCTATATCCATTGACATAAGAAATTGTAAACAGTAAGCCTTTGGCTAACTGAAACAAAAATACAACTTACAAAAAAATGTTTTTGGTTGGGGAAGGAAAAAGGGGTATTATCAGTATTTTGGTGGGGGGCACCTGGGGGCATTGGAAAATGTGGGTGTGTGTGTGTGTGTGTGTGGCTACGCCACTGATCTTTATTGCATTAGTTTAGTTTCTTTGAACCTATTGTATGATCTGTATGCCTGTACCTGGAAAGGAATGCATACTTCCAAGTTATATTTCGTTGTTTTCACGAAATTTCACAATTTTGACAATTCTTCAAAGCATATATTGTAAATTGGATAAATTGTAATTCTGTCAGATCATGAAAATTGAACTTACTGAATATAAAACAAAAAAGCTATAAAATAACACAAAAAAGCTATAAAATAAAAGAAAAAAACAAAACACCAAGAACAGAAAAGAGAAAAAGGCATATTGGCAAAGCTTAGTTAAAATATCCGTTTTCCTGGCTGAATTTGCCGAATTGACATCAAAACTTTGATACTGTACACATACATGTATTGAGAACTTTTGCATGCTCCTACATGGATTTGAACGATACTTTTCGTAAAAGTAACGCTGCTTTAAAGCATCATTCAATTTGTTATACAAAAATGGCTGATGTATTGAAAGGCAAGCTTGCATGACATTTATGCTCAGGAATCATCGTGGGCAAACAAGGCAACAAGCCCAATATCTGCATTCTCTGTAAAGTCTGTGGTGCTACGCTTTGCTGGTTTTCTGACAGGCTTCAAGTCTTTGATTATGATCTCTCTCCTGAACATCTGACCGATATGTCTCTGCAAAGAAACATATAAACAATACACCTTCAATGTAAAACCTGCGCAGCAAAATTACGTCCAATTCTTATGAGCTTAAAGTCAGACTTTTTAGGAGACAGTTGTATTTCTGCATTTTGCAGAACATGGGTTTTCCAATGGTATAGAACATTGGGGTGTTCTGAGTTCAGTAACAGACATATTTTAATTGAGGCTGTAAAATTAATTAAACAAGGTGGTTCTCGAACCACGCGTCTCGCCTGTTTTTCTTGAAATTGTTGATAGGTGACCTTTGACCTTGGTTTGTGACCTTTGATAACATTATCTTATGAAGGTTCCCATAGTGCAGCCATGAATCAAGTTTGGTTACAATTGGATTTCAACTTTGAAATGACACCAATTTTACAGTTTCAGCCTATTTTACAACTTGACCTCGGATGACTTTTGACCTTGGTATGTGATGGTTGCCATGTTGAATCTATGGCTCAAGTTTGGTTGCATTTGGACTTCAACTTTTTCAAATGAGACCAATTTTACAATTTCAGGTTAGATTACAACTTGACCTAAGATGACTTTTGACCTCGGTATGTGATCTTTGACATCATGATCATATGAAGGTTGCCATGTTGCATCTATGACCCAAGTTTGGTTCCAATTGGACTTCAACTTTTCAAATGAGTCCATTTTTTTTTAAAACTTCAACCAAAATACCACATACATACATATGTACGGACGACCAGACGGATGAGACATGTGGGGTGATGGCATTGTGTTCCTTTTATCCCTTTTCTAAAGATTTCATCTCCGGGGTGATGTTTTTCTATAGGTTTCACAAGTGGCCACATGTGGGTTATGGTCAGAACAGACGGACATACGTACAGACATGGTGATTGCGTGGTCTCTTTCCTGAACAAAAATGTATTGATATTGCCAGACTCTACACAAATGTTTTAGTAGTTCCCTTCAAACTGATGCAGGCCCTCAAATCATATTTGCCCGCTAAAAACAAAGCTTTCAACTTAAAAAAAAGGAATTCCAAAACTTTTCTGGGACACCTGCTATGAAAAAGATGTCCAAAACAAATAAAGCTAGAAAAGGAAATTTGTTTTCTGTTTGTTTTCTTTTTCACGTGTGACTCAAATAAAAAAAAAAATTCTAATCTAAAAGCATGAAGTTAAAAATCCCTTTAATTGTGAACTTACACCAATGACTCCGCTGATCATTTTTTTGAAGTTGTCTCGTCTACTTTTTTCGCTGATAGGTTTCTTATGCTCCTCATTGAATATAAACCGATGGTCAAATGTCTGAAGTATCTCTCGCGTGACTCCCGGAATCTGTAACATGACTTCTTGGAGGATATCAAATCTGGGCCTCTAAAATAAAAGTAACAAGATAATGTTCAAAATATTTTGGGATTGAAAATGAGTAATAAAAAACATATTTATATGGATAGTTATCAACCTAAACGTAGATTGAAGGGCTGTTTGTTTGGAATGATTGCAGGTATTGGACAAGGAGGATTGCATTTCTTGTTGTGACCACTTCCGAAAGCCCCAGTGGTACAATGTAGGGACACAGCGCATGCGTGTACTGATTTGTACGCAAATGAGGGAAAGCCTGGACGACTACTTTCTGAATGTGCACAAACCTGCCCCGTTTTCGGGTGAGCTTCAGGCGCCATTGGCTATGCATTTGTATGAATTCCCCATTGCCCCTCCCAGTGGTACCCCGTTACTCTGCCTTTGTAACTGTTGGGAGGGGGGGGGGGGGAGAGCGGGGGTATTTGTGGATGGAGTCCATAGGTCACATATAATGTAGCCATAATAATATATGTCGCGTTTTTCGGGTGAGCATCAGGCGCCATTGGCTATGCATTCGTATGAATGCCCCATTTCATATGAATGCCACCTTGCCCCGCCCAGTGGTACCCAGTTACTCTGCCTTTGTAACCGTTGGTTGTCCGGTCTTTGCGTCATATGCGTACTTGTGCATTGAGTCCATAGGTCACATATACTATAGCCATAATAATATATCTAGCATGAAAGTTTGTTTCCAGTCCAAATACTAAATCAAGTCAATGGAAAGATGAATCACAGAGCTCGCAGCAGGAGCTTGAGACACTGTCTCGGTGTCTCTATCCACTTGCGTTGTTGAGGCCCTCACGTGACCTGTCACGTGACCCTGCCAATTGGTAACACAGGCACCGCGCACAATATGAACAGAGATGGAGGATACAAACTGGCCTACTTGTACGACTGCATCCTGTCGTGTGACCAAGCAGGGTCACGTGACAGGTCACGTGAGGGCCTCAACAATGACGGTGTCGCAAGTTCCTGATATGAGCTCTGTAATTTATGTCCCAAATAGGTAATTTTCCATTCACATAATAATATTATTTTTTTGCTGTTACTTCACAACTGGGCTGTAGTATGTGAAGGCGTCGTGAATAGTGAGAATAAGCGCTACAACGTCTGGCAGGATAATTGTGAGACGGAAGAGAAGAGCCCGCAACGACTGCTCCAGCAACGACTGCTCCAGCATCAGCCTGCACATGCAGTGCCTGTGGCAGTGACTGTCACTCTAGAATAGGTCTGTATAGCCACGGCAGACGCTGTCCCACCAACCAGTGAGACTGTGCGCATACCATAGAGCTATATTAAATTACTAGAGCGCTGATGGGCGCATCCATGTTTGTTTATAAACCTATGGAGAACTAGAACTTTTGTACGGCTTTTGTACGGCTATTTGCATATCTGTGTTTGTATTCCATACCGGTGCGTTATCGAAGCCAAAATGCCCAAAACCGAAACGCACGATCAGCAAATGAGCATGCCCTTTTGCTCTACACAAACAGCGCAACAGCGCGTATTCACTGCAGATGCTTTTTGCCGTGACGTTTTTTGAACTGTCTTGATGCGCTTAAGTTCTACTTGCGCGTTGCATGTAGAGTACACTTTCAAAATTCAATCCATCTATGTTCTACAAACACGCACATGAATTCAAAATGTCTGCGCCCAGGGCCGCTTCTAAGCGTTACGTCTCCGCATGCAAGAATGAGGAGTTAGCGCTCTAGTAATTTTATATAGCTCTATGGCGCATACCCATTGTCTCTCGAGACGAGGAGCCCAACAACAACTTGTCTCAGACAAACTCAATTGAAATACACTTTAATTTTGTTTATTCCAATTATTGAAATACACTTCATTTTTGTTAATTCCAATTAATAGTATTATCCTTCTTTCTACAGTAGGAAAAAACCACCAAAGGACATGCAAAAAGAACTAGATGTTAAACATGAAACCCCCCCCCCCCAAAAAAAATCCCAACTTCTCACCAAAATTTCATAGTGTTGGAAGGTCTTCTGAACAAGCAAGGATGTACAGGTTTCGTGTTGCCCATGGACTTCAAGACCAAGTAGCAGACAGGAGAACAGATACTTGACAGCACCAGGAAGAATAGGCCTATCTACTATCTGTTCAATCAAAACATTTCAATTTGGATCAAATCAAGTCAGATACTTCATTCACATGCGTGTACTTGGGGAAAAGTAGTCCTTTTAAAGATAGGAGTCGGTGAGGAATAAAAAAAAAGTTCATTGTTTTGTAAAAATGATAATTTAAAAAATTTTTGTCCATGACTTAAGAATGAACAAAGCTGGTTATATTTTTAAATTAAAATTGCTTGTTATTGGTACCTGATGAAATCATGATGACATAACACTTGTATGTTACATCTGGAGATCACACTTGATTTTCATACCAAGTTTCAATATAAATCGATAGTGTGATTCGTTTGAAAGAAAGCCTCGCACATCATTTTCAAGTCTTGCACATACCAGAAAATGCAACTTTTATATGTGGGGAGAGATCTAGATGGCTTTTTTTGTTGGTCATGGGTGAAATAAAGGACAAGTGCCTGAAAAAAATACAAAGTGACTGGTCTTTAACTGTACATGGATCTAATTAGCTCATTGTTGCATGTATTTTGTTGAAAACATGGAAAGGGTAGTGTTTAAATAAACACGATTAAATATCCACTCACCTGTTGAAATATTGGCCAGCACATGTTTAGTGACTTAGTGCATGTCTGTGTATCATTCCATGACAGTGATGAATAGATGCACATGACCATACTTTTACAGAGAGACTGTTGAATAAAAGAAGACAAAGTATTACAGGGGTGGATCTGGCTTTCAGGAAAGGGGGGGTTGACATGAAGGTGGAAGGGGTTTCGGTATGCCTTGCTAGGACGTCCTAGGGTCCAAGTGCTTGCCCCCCCCCCCCATTTTTTTTCTTCAAATCTGCTATGCTTTCTCCTGCATTCTAAGGCAATTTGAGAATCAATTTAGCTACTTTAGCATTCCATTTATTATTTTTTGCCCAATTTTACTAGTTTCATAACATTAGTCAGCGGCCAAATGGGGGGGGGGGGGTGTCCACTCACTAGATCCGCTCCTATATTAAGACAAATTTCTTAACTTCCCTCACAGACCATCGCTGGTGAAGCTGTATCTGCTATATGTACATCTGGTCTACATTTTTTAACAATGCATTTCACATCAAAGCATTACAAAAGTCACTTACAATTTGTTACATTTTATCCCTAGCATGCCCTGCATGCTTTAAATTAATTACTGAATATTTGATGGCCACTGCTGAGTGTCGGTGCTGGTACATGGTAGCTAGTAACTCGAAGTGTATTTGTTTAATAAGCAGGAGAATTTTGATACTTTTATGGTGCAAACTTTCATTATTTTTGTTGAGAAGGCAGAAATATGCAGCACTACAATATGTGTTGCCGAATATGCCTGACATGACAACTGAGTTTGATTCAGTTCAATTTAGAAGTGCCACAGTTAGTGAATTTTAGTTTGGTTTGGCTGCAGTAATAATCACAGTACATGTGCTGAAACATGGTTTGATCAGTAATGATTGAATATTCGGTTTTCGATTAACGCTCACCACCCCAACTCCATCAAAATCCATCTCTCCATTTTGGTGGATTTTGGGGACTTGGTCCAGAAGGCATGGCGTGACTAAATCTTGTTGGAGTATGATGGACTTGGACCTAGTGGCCTGAAGCAGTGCTAGGGGTATCTGATTGATTTTGCCTAGCTTCTTGCACTGATGTTGTGATAAAAGCCATGTGTAGCAAGTCCATGAATGTCAACCAGTGCATCAGTGGTGAATTCCATTATGTCATGTACAGTTTTGTATTGGACGCACAGTGATTGATGGATTTTGATGGACTTGGCCCAGTTCCTAGTAAAAGACGCTAGGGAGTTAAGGTTAATCAACAGAATCACTTATCACCATGTAAGATTAAAAATCTGACCTTACTGAAACCATTGCAACAACATGAGACGCCCTGGGGGTCAGAACCTGGCATCTTCCCTGGAACCTCTTGTTGTCCGACGGTCCGCAGCTTCTCTTCGATTGTTTTAAAGATACTAAGTAGATCATCTTCTTGAATATACTCTTCTTGAATACAGTACCTAACTAACACATACGTATAGTAGGGTTAAAGATCTGATCACAATGAAACAAGTGTCAAACCTCATGTTGTAGTATCTTTTTGCCAAGCTCCCCAAGTTGTTCCGGTTCTGTGGCCTTATGCCCTCCCTCTGCGGAGGCTACCGATTCAGAATCCACGGTTTCCATCTGGATATCACTCCCACTGTAGCCTGTACCTGCACTTCTCTTCTTGAATACAGTACCTAACACGTATCGGATAAAACAAATAATACAAAAGTGGAAAAATAAATCGATTATGCATGACTATGTTGCTTGTATCTGTTTGTGTATCTACCTGTTCATGCTATATACACAAAATACAATCACAGATGAGAATTTAATCTTACGAATAAAGCAAGACTACTTTTCATCCCGTGATGAAATATTGCAACCACATTTTGGCTGGTGCTCCAGCATTTTACCCATCCCCCTTGATAACATTCAGTGACACACCTACAATCTGGTTGGTCAGGACCCAACATCTTCCCTTGAACCTCCACTTGTCCGACAATCTGTAGCTTCTCGTGTTTTTTTTTTTATAGATACTAACTATACCATGGGATGTGTTACAGTGGTCTCTCTCGCTTGTTCCCCCGATCGTACGTTCGAGCAACCATGCGCTTTGCTGCCTTTCCACATCCTTTCAATGTCAAATTTCTTAAAGGTACAGTCCATCATTTGCAATTTGTGCATTTTGTCCGTTTGAAGCAACAGACGTGCTCAAAATCTAAAGAAGGGTGCTGAACAACTAACCTGAGGAACTTTCAACTCAGCTTCAGTTGCATATTTCGAGAAAAAACAACATTCAAGGATCTCGATTTCAAATCAAAAGTTGCTGAATCATGTTTTGAATTGGGCCTGAATTCAGCGCTTGGGACACATTCTTACTGAGCCGATTGCAGCTTCACGATGTAGTGCACCAATCCGACGAATTATAGCGATTGCGCGCGTGTTCGTCGGGTCAAGAATAAATTCACAGGGAGTTTAGTCCCCTTACTATCTTTCAACCAAGTATGTTTTTCAACAATAATATTTAGTTACTTTTTGAACAGCTGCAAATGATGGACTGTAGCTTTAAGGCTTGTACTGGAATATATTCTTTCAGTTTTTTCCCTTCATACTGCCCCTTTTTGGTACTCTCTATCGCAATCATGCTTCCCTTCTATGTTCAATCTTTTACAACTCGAGCAAAATGTGATTAGAAACCTTCTTTCACTTTGCCTTAGCTTTCTTTCTTTCTGTTCTTCCAAGGTTGTAGCCCACACTTTTGAGTGGCCTTGGCCTTATGTGTGGGCAATACCCATTAAAAAAAATGATCTCCAATGTGTCAAATGAGCCTGGCCTCTATTACCAAGCATTGCGTGACCTTTATAAAAACAAACCCAAACCTATTAGGGTCACATTTCACATGCCAGCATTTAAGAGCCCATAGTGGTGCATTCCTTCAAAAGTGCTTCTTGAAATCTTGCCTTTTACCTAGAGTTCTGTTTTACATAAAGTTTGGAAACACACGCTAACTTACTGAAATGTAACAATTAACTTGCTTAAAGCATAGTTTTATAAAGCGTGTAAACTACTTAATATATTTAAAAGAGTCTTTTCAAGTAGTATCTGTCCAAAGTATGACACAGCTGCATTAAACTTCCCAAAGAGAGCGAGGTGAAAGTGTAATTGTATATTTGTGATCAGTGCTCACACATGCATGTGTAAAAACAATGTCATCCTTACTCAAGAGATCCAGATAATCCCTTGTGATGAGTCGTAGGAACATCTCGTCTATAATCTCCTGTGATTCCTGGTTAGCCTCTCTGCTCTCAGATTCCTCCCTGTGTGTTTCAATATCAAATAATTGTCATCGGCTAGCTTTCAGAATGGGCATCACAATAATTACCTTAAGGAGATCTGATGAACATTTTATTACATCTTTTTTGTAGAACATTTCAATTTCAATAACAATTATTTCCATCAAGAGCAAACTAAAAGCATCATCAGAACAATCCGTACATGCAGTTACATGTATATTAACCCAAACAGAACTCAACCCATCAAGCCCCAACGGCATGTTTTGTTGGAATCTGTCAGGATGGGTACAGTACCCCTAAACTGACAGTCTTCTACATTGAGTTGGCACACCTGCAGAATCAAAGTCAGAAATATGTGTGTGCTGTTTCCCATATGGTGTTGGAATTTGCCAGGATGGGTATGGTTCCTAGTAAATCATGCTAGGGAGTTAGTGTTAAGATGGAGGCATGTCTTATGCCTTACACCCAAAGTTATTGGAGTCGATGCATTTGTCACACACAGTTTCAGGCTGAATTTTCATAAGTCGTTCTGCCATTTGAGTTTGCATTTCTTCTATTAAGAACTATAGGTATTTTCACACTACTGTATGTGTTGCCTACTCCGTGTCAAAATCAACACAGGGCTACTGTACAAATGGCATGGATTGCATCAAACACGGGTAGGCAAGGCATGTCATTCACACTTCCAACAATGTGTTCATGGTGGATGTGGCTGATTCTACTACGTGTCAAAAACAAAAAGTCCTAATTTTGATCCTAAATAACTCTGTTGTTTACCAATGGAATTAACCCAAAATTGCAGCTCATGTAAACAAGGCATGACAAATGATGCAGGATCACGTCACTGAACACCTCCTTGATCGTGTGTTGTGCCTAACGATCGAGGAGGTGTGCAATGACATCATGGGTGATCCTGCATTCCTTCAGAAGCTTTTGGCCGTAGCACGCGCTCCTTCCGCCACCGTCTCCAGTGCTGCATCGACACGGAGGACGCCAAGTAAAAAGTGGCAGATTCTGAAAATGAGTCTTTTCTTCATATGGCGTTTAAATCTCACCCTCTTGCACAAAGCTAATGAAACTCGCTACATACCTTTTGTCATGACTTGTTTACATGATCTGAAATTTTGGTTTAATTCCATTAGTAAACAACAGAGTTATTTAGGATCAAAAGTAGGATATGTTTTTTTGACAAATAGTGTGAAAGGGGTTCACAAAATCTCCATGTTGGACCTGGATGGAGATTTTGGAAATTAGACAGTGTGAAAGGCCTTAATTCAAATTGTTCTCAGAAAGTTTCTTGTCCTTTTTTATTCAGAAGAATATCCGTGAGGTAATAACATTTGCTGTGAAATTTTCTCAGCCAATCTCTGAAAGTACCTGGGTACAGGTGGAGGTGTGGGAATTGGTCTCTAGGCAATCCTACTTGGAGTATATTCTACCAGTTCGCCCATACTAAAATGGACTGATTTCCATTAAGCTGACATGATAAAAGCAATGTCATTACATACCCCATGCCAATTCGTTTATTGACAGCGTCCCACGCAAGACTCAACCTTTGGAGCATGAAAGCGCACAGGCAGTTCAGAACTGGCAGCAAGACTTGGTCTTGGCAATCTACAGGACAGTGCAAGACTAATGACTTCATGAAAACACGTGAACTCAGGTTAAGGAAGTGCCTGTGGCTTGAAGGTTTGAATGGGTCTTTGCTGCCGACAATAATGATTAACAGCAATCATTGCCAGAACTGTTGATTGTACTTTAATATTTCATGAAATTCCTCTAAAAGTTCAATAGGATAACTGGGTGGCAAATAGGATATGGATAACTGAGCCTCAAGGGATACATGCAACTGGGTGGCAACAAGGATGTGGATAACTGAGCCAAAAGGGATAACTGGGTGGCCAAAAGGATATGGATAACAGAGCCAAAAGGGATAACTGGGTGGCCAAAAGGATATGGATAACTGAGCCACAACAGATACATGTAACTGGGTGGCAAAAAGGATATGGATAACTGAGCCAAATGGAATAACTGGGTGGCAAAAAGGATATGGATGACTGAGCCACAAGGGATACATGTAACTGGGTGGCAAAAAGGATATGGATAACTGAGCCAAATGGAATAACTGGGTGGCAAAAAGGATATGGATGACTGTGCCACAAGGGATACATGTAACTGGGTGGCAAAAAGGATATGGATAACTGAGCCAAAAGGGAAATTGGGTGGCAAAAAGGATATGGATAACCGAGCCTCAAGGGATACATGTAACTGGGTGGCAAAAAGGATATGGATAACTGAGCCAAATGGAATAACTGGGTGGCAAAAAGGATATGGATGACTGAGCCACAAGGGATACATGTAACTGGGTGGCAAAAAGGATATGGATAACTGAGCCAAATGGAATAACTGGGTGGCAAAAAGGATATGGATGACTGAGCCACAAGGGATACATGTAACTGGGTGGCAAAAAGGATATGGATAACTGAGTCAAAAGGGATACTGGGTGGCAAAAAGGATATGGATAACCGAGCCTCAAGGGATACATGTAACTGGGTGGCAACAAGGATGTGGATAACTGAGCCAAAAGGGAAACTGGGTGGCAAAAAGGATATGAATAACTGAGCCAAAAGGGATAACTGGGTGGCATAAAGGATAACTAAGCCACAAGAGATAACTGGGTGGCAAAAAGGATATGGATAACCGGTCGCAGTTTGTAGTCAGGTGCATGATTCAGCAAGAAAGGCGCAGACTGGACAAGTTGTGCAATGAAGGGATGAAAGCTGTACAACTCATATCCCAGGCTGTCACATGCACTGGCCAAGACGTGGCAACTGAAAATGAAGTAGTCATCCAGAAAAAGTGCTCACTTCAAACATTTCTGAACCAAACCAGCTGCACTGAAAAACAACTCTTCATAATTTCGACTTTCCATTTTGACAACACAATAAAGTACCGTACTGGTTGCATAATCAAATTGTAACCATTAGATGCCCATTCTTCAAAGGCTAAGAACTCTAAAACAATCAATTAGTCACGTTAGTAGTCAACTGATAGATAAACTCACCAGTTTTCCTGGGCAGTCGACAGGAAACTCTGAATTTTTTCTGCGGTGGACCTGTTAGCTGGAAGCTCATAGTTATCGGATGGCTGAGTTAAACCTAATCAAAAAAGAGCAAATATGGTTTCACACAGTGTAATTCTCGTGTGCCATAGCCGGCACCTTGTTATGGGGATGTTTTCTACTGTTAAGGAAATTAGGACCAAGTTATGGGGACTTTCTGCTGTCCCCACAGCATCCCCGTAATAACTATTGCTCAACAGGTATGTGTCCCTACAAGGCCGCTAAGTCAAATACTCACCTAACACTGCATTTTTGTCATGCTCAGGAATATCAAAGACTTTGAAAAACTCCACAGGAATTGTCGCTCTGATTTCTGGAGACCATATTGCATTCATAGTTCTATTGTTATATACAAAAAGTACAATACAGAATCTTAATAGATATTAAGTATTCATATATTTACATAATTATTTTAAAATCACTAGTACTTCATTGGCATGCTTTATGAGGGGAGGGGGCAAGGGGAGGGGGCAAGGGGAGCAACTCCATAAAAATCCATCCCTCATTATTGGGAGATTTCGGCAGATAAGCCATGCATGTGTACCAAGTCCATCAAATTCCACCAGTACCAATTAAATTCAATTCAATTCAATTTGACTTTATTATCCCTGACGGGAAATTCCATTGGCCTTTTACATTTAAACACGTTAATGAAAACAGGACAAATTACAAAATGACAAATTACAAAATTACCGGCGGTGGAATTTAAAGGATTTGGTCCTGAAGCATTTTGTGTCAAAACAGAGTGAGTGATGGAATTTCTCAGACATGGTCCTCTACTTTGGGAGGGTTAAGGATTGGTGCTAGGGATTGGCTACCGACTGAAAATTGAAAAGGGGGGGGGGGGGGAGAAATGGAATGGGATGAAAAGAAAGAAACAATGCCACTAAGTACACATACAGTACACATACACATTTTGAAACAAGCATGATGCCCCCTTTACACAAATGGCCCATGAAAATGCTTACCTCATTAGAGCAAGTACGTTATCCAATAATGGCAATATGTGAAGGCAACATGGATCTCGACTCACGATACCGGATGAAGCATGGAAATCACCAGCCAATTTCTGAAAACAAATACGTAAAGTAAGGGCTGACGTATTGCACATTTGTGTAATTCCATCAAATTAGAAAGATATTGGTAATATTTGGACACACTTTTAGATGAAGAATGAAGGGCCCCTCAATGTCCCGGAGTCATTTTTAACTGTTAATACTGGTTGTGACTCTTAAGCCTAGTTTCCATATCGACGTAAGAAACGCAAAGTGAAACGCAAACAGGACCCAAATTGGAAGGCAGACATATGGAAACATTTCATCCGGAAGTGTCGCCGACAACCCAGACAGACGCAACCTTCCTGAACAAGGTTCAACTTTGCCGACTGTTCTGCGTACTGTCTACGCAGACTGCATAAGCTTAGAGTCCATATGAACACCAGGCTATATAAAGTGGTTTTGTGCAGAACGTTTCATAGCATTTTTATTCAGCATGATATTTTAAAGAACAATTTGCTATGGATAAAAATTTGACATGACACTATTTTCAGCATACTCAGGGGTGCCAGTGTGTTTTTGCACCAGGGTCGGAAAATTATTTGGCATGACTGCAATACACCATACTGACGTCACCAATACTATACATGTTACATGTACATACATGTATGTCGACAATGAACGTATGTTGACATGTATGGGCATTGTCGCGCAAGAACTATTGTTGACCATTGGTTAACCATAGTTCGACTAAAGTTACCCTGAACTCTGTCTAGTCGACAATGGTTGACTACGCTAGTCGACTATTTGGAACCAACCTACTGGGCATGGTTGCATCGCTGGTTACCAATAGCCGCGCATTCATAACGTACAGCAGGGAGCCAGGATCCAAGAGTCTTGCGATGACATTTTGACCAGCGTTTGACTAGAGACGTTCGCATGTTGCTATTAGTGCGCAGACGTAAGGTACGTCACAATCAACCACTAGTCGACTAATGGTCCTTGCCCGAACTTGGCCTATGTTGACAATGAACGTACGTACGTGTAACATGCTAGCATGGTGCTTGTGATGGAGCATCGCATGCAGCGCATGCAATGCAGCCCATAATGATCCGAGACTCAAATACCAGTAAACTTGGCTTTTAATTTACTGGTCGCCCCAAGTATATGCAGAAAAGACACGCTTGATCAATTGCACTCGGTATGTGAGTCTAGCACGCGTAACGCGTAACCAAATTTCTTGTCCCCAATGCACTACAAATTTTCCTATTGGCTGAATAATTTGTAGCCAAGTTTCTCATCAACTTCATCAGTATGAGGTCAATATGATGAGGTCAATACGATGAGGTCAATATGGTGATGTCAATATAATGAGGTCTATATGATGAGGTCAATATGGTGAGGTCTATATGGTGAGGTCAATATGGTGAGGTCAATATGATAAGGGCAATATGATGAGGTCAATATGAGGTCAATATGGTGATGTCAATATAATGAGGTCTATATGATGAGGTCAATATGGCGAGGTCTATATGGTGAGGTCAATATGGTGAGGTCAATATGATAAGGGCAATATGATGAAGGCAATATGATGAGGGCAATATGATGAGAACAATATGATGAGGTCTATATGATGAGGTCAATATGATGAGGTCAATATGATGAGGTCAATATGATGAGGTCTATATGATGAGGTCTATATGATGTCTTTATGATGAGGTCAATATGATGAGGTCAATATGAGGTCAATATGATGAGGTCAATATGATGAGGTCAATATGATGAGGTCAATATGATGAGGTCAATATGATGCGGCCAATATGATGAGGTCAATGGCTCGAGTGCTTCCATTTTGAGCCCAGAGATGAGCCCAGAGACGAAGCCAATGCTATGAGAATTCATAATGTTTGCATACCTGCGGGTCATGTGGCCGTTTACTCCGTTTCATCACTGCCATCATGGTTGATATGCAAGCTAATATAGTTGCCCTATTGGCTCCTTGTTTGTCATCCTGTGGTGGAGATGTCTGTGCCTTGCAGAGTCCAATATGCTCAAGAAATCTATTTCCATTCCCAAAAACTCTGGAAAAGGAAAAATGTACAAGTTTTATTAAAAAATAAAAAGTAACCTACCAAATTAATATCAGATTAAAGATCGTACTGGTACTAAACATCATGTGAAATTATTCCGTCTGGCTTGCAGTCATTTAGAAGAAATCAAGAAATGGAGGTGCTTTTGTAAAGAGTAGCATTAATAAATTGTACTTCGTGATCAAAAAGTTGTGCGTTGATTGTCACTTTTTCTCCAAAGTGAAACTTCAACCGGTTACTAGGTTTTGAACATTCTTCTTTGGAATTTGAGTGGTGTTAATATTGGAAACGAACATCACGTGCAAATGCATCACGTGCAAATGATCGTATGCCTTTAACACTAACTCCCTAGGCATTTTTGCTAGGATGTAACCTCAATCAAGAAAAATCCTCCAACTGCCTCCATGTAAAAATAGCATACAGCCTCAATCCTGCAAAATGCTCCGTTATTTCTTGAATGTGGTTCTTCGAAGGGTGACCACTGCCTCAACCCTGCAAAATCCTCTAGCAATCACTGTCAGTATGCTGAGGCAGAGCCAGTGACATCCTGGAGCAGTGTGGAGGATTTCAAGTATAATCTAGGACTAAATTTAGGCACGGCTGAGCATAAACAAAATAAGGTCTGGCCTAAGGCCTTGACACAGTGCATCCTCCAAAATCAGCCAGTTTGGCCATACAGCCTGAATCCTGCAAAATCCTCCATTTTGCAAATAGGATTTTGAAGGATTTGGGAAGGTTAGGGTTAACGAGATGACTCATTACTCTTTCATTGCATCTGCCATCCAGACACCCGTGACTGGTTCCATGATCTCTTGGATGAGAGCACTCTGCTTGTCCAGATCGTTGAACTCGTTGCTCAGCAAGATCAGGACTTCATTCAGGGTGCTTTTCTCCAATTGTGTCAGTTGGTCCTGATCTCCGTTCAACAGCTTGATACGGCGGTAGAGTTCATCAAAGAAATGCTGCAGGGGTAATGGAAAAACACATAAAGCTAACAGAAAAACTGGCTGAATAAGTGATTTGCAATCAATCCTAAATGATAAATTCCCAAATTTGTTGGAAAAATGAACTGCTGAGCAGTGTGATGTTTCAAGGTAGACATCAATGCTAAACAGGTAAACATCAAAGATTCATACCCCATGCTCTTCAAGCAATTAATTTTTTTTCTTTTAACAAATTTAGTTTTAACGGGAAAAAAACTACTTCATTCCGATTTTGAGCGTCTACAACCTTCTGAAAAACGGTATTTTGTGCACAAATAACCCGCCCTGCGAGAGCCTAATTATTGTCTGGCAGCCACTAATTTGACTTTTGTGATGAAGTAATTCAATAACTAAACGTCAGTGGATTTTTATCATTCAAAAGAGAAAAACCTTTGTACTGCTAGGAAAATGGCAATCAGAAAAACAAACCCATTTTTAAAGTGAAACTTGAAAAAAGCACGAGGAATACATCTCTAACTAATTATGTAGAGTCAAGCTTACATGAGAGGTGTTAACCCTGAAAGTGTCAGGGGCCGAATCCGCTTTCCCTGCGCATTTTCTTTTGATATAATTGCTGTGTGATATTGTTTTGTGCTAAAGCTGTTGGCAAAATGTCAAAAAGTTATGCAAGTAGCTTAAACAGGCTGCAAAGTTTTTACACGGCGAAATAAAAAATGAAGAAATTGAGATTGACTCAGTGCATTACCACCATGAATTCTGAGTTGTCTCGGCATATCTTGACCAAGGCGGAGCATGCATGTCTGCGGACATTCTGTACGGGTCGCGTCCTCGTCTTCTGAGAATATAGGCGAGGTAGAGTTTTATTATCGAGCTAAAAGAAAACTGTAGCAAATTGTGCACAATGTACAAGGCAAGTGTGTGAAATGGCACTCTTTTCAGATCAAGGATTAAGTTGGATTGGACCAATTTAAATGTGTGAGAGTGTGGCCTAGTGGTTAGGGTTTGTGACTCATGATCAGAGGGTCAGGGGTTCGAATCCAGCTGCTGGCCATATGTTGTGTCCTTGGGCAAGCCACTTCATCCCCACTTGCCTCTCTCCACCCAGGAGTATAAATGGGTACCGGCATTAGCTGGGGGGTAACCTGCCATGGACTAGCATCTCGTCCAGGGGGAATCGTCTTCTGAGAATATACGCGAGGTAGAGTTTTATTATCGAGCTAAAAGAAAACTGTAGCAAATTGTGCACAATGTACAAGGCAAGTGTTTGAAACGGCATTCTTTTCAGATCAAGGATTGAAATCCATTTGAATAATAAGTATAATAAGTAGGTCACAGTAATCATTTATCAGTATCTCATGAGATACACATATGCCACTCTGAAGTGCTACTTTTGGGCATTTTCTGAAAGACCTCCAGAAAAGCTTTTGTTGTTGTTATTGTCTTTGTTTAATCTAAGATACCTCAAGGGATTAATGTTTGAAATGAGGGAAAATAACTAAATTCAACTGGATTTATGAACAACGGTACCTTCGTTTGTCCAGGTAGTGAGAATACGGCAGCTGAAAAAATCTGTAAAGCAATACAATTTGGATTTTCGTTATCAAAATGTCACACAAACAAAACTGTTATCTGAAAGTATTCTTTCCCCTCCATATTACATTGGTATTACTTGGCATGACTGATTAACATTTGAGATGAAAGACGATATAAATAAAAACAAATAATTATACTTCTATTCTGACAAAAATGTGATAATTCTGCTACAGGGTTATTGTGAATTTGTTCACCATTCCTTTGTTTTTTATATTGATCTCAAGGACTGGCGTTTTCATTTGTATTGTTTTATATTAACTCAAGGGCCTATATGTTAGCGTGAAGTACATCCGTGCTGGAAGTCAGATCTCAAATTGAGTGTTGACATATTATCTTAACACATGACCTGACTACGTGACTTGACATCACGTTAGGCTGAACAATAATTCCTACCTTATCAAGGTAAGCATTCATGAGCTCTGGTTTCTCTTTGACAACTGGAAACAATGTTGAAATTGTAGATAACACATAGGAGAGAAGGGTGGGGTCCTGCCAAAACATGAAGTACACAAAATAACAATCTTGTAATATTGGGAGTGATCATCAATCAATCAATCAATCATCATTAATGCATGGTGTATGCCTATGTCTAGTTATCAATGACTAGTGACATGTGACATTATCTGTCACGTCATACGAGTCGTGTCCTTGCACTGCTATGCCATCAGTCATCAGTAATTAGTGACTAATTTTTTTTTTGAAACCTTTGCTTCGTCTTCGGCTTTGGCTTTGACCCCGAATCACTGAGAGGCAAACCAAATAAAAATACTCCAACTTTTGGCTTCATATCAACCGATTGAAAGTTCCTGAAGCATAACAGGCACCAAAATGTGGTTAGAGTTCCAGAAGTTGAGGGCCTAAAATCTCCTTAAGCCGAAGACGAAGCCAAAGCCAGTCGTTTTGGAAACGCTCATAATGTTGACACTACAGGGTGAGTAAAAAAACGAAACCCAAATGTCGGGACTTCTGTTTTAGTGAAGTTCTGCATGTAGCACTTTCAAAATCTAGGATATGAAAGCCCAATTCATAAGCTTTCTTTTAGTACAAGAATCATTCAAATCATCCCAGTACTTTTCAAGTGACGGAATTTTAAACACAATGACCGTTTTAAAGTTCTGTCCACGGATCACAAAAAAGTTGTATGTTCTTTCAGCAAAACGAAAACAATTCACACACATCCCTGTGCGTCATCAGTTCTACTTTCTAGAGCACTGTTTGACGGATTTTCAGGTGCATTATAGTCACAGACAATAAACTCTTGTTAATAAGCAAAATCTCAAGGGAATGGATACAAAAAATTGAGGTACTCTCAAAATGTTTCCAGTGCATTCACATGGCCACTGCTAAGAGCCAGCGACTGGGTCTGGCTGGACTGCCAAAGTGCGGGCTACAATTGGGCCAGCGGTGAGTGATTAGGCCGACTCCAAAGCCAGAATTCATTGCGGTTACAGGCTGGTTATTATGAATAGAACGCTTGCAGATGCGTTCGATAATCGACGCGCGAAGGCGCGCGACGCCATGTTGTGGGACAGGCGTATATCTATCCATGCACATTTTGTCCCATAACATGGCGTCGTGCACCTTCGCGCATCAATTATCGATCGCGTCTGCAAGCGGTCTATAGAAAATGTAAAAAAACAGAGCATTTGTATTACCTCAGTTTGAAATGAAAGTGTCATTTGTAGAAGTTGCACTAGTTGTGGAGTAATTTCAGTCAACACATCACTCTGAAAGAGCCTAGCGAGTACATTCTCCATGAAGCAGGTCAGAGCATCCCAGCCTATGCAGGATGGTGAATGTGGCGTGCACGTTTCTTTTCCTGTTTAAGTTGCATCAACAATGTATACATGTACATGTGTGAAACTGATTTCTATCAAATTCAGATCACTTGGCTGTTCTTGCTGGATGAGAGTTCACATTGTTAACAAGTCAGGTGTGTTTACAAACACCAATGCCCCGCAACCGTGACTGTTCCCATGACATAACACCACTCTTTTAACATCAACTTACATGTACCTTGGTCACATGGAACGTTCATTGACAGCATTAGTGTCTTCTGTAGGTTTTATATTAATTAATCCCTAACCCCTATGATCTCAGAATAAATACAAGATTTCTATTGTTTTAGCCACTGTGACCTTGACCCTTGACCTTTTGGCCCCAAATGCAATAGGCTTCTTAGGATTACCAAGAACAATACACAAACCAAATTTTAAGTTCATATGTAAAGTATTTCTCAAGTTATTGCGCTGACAACATTTCTTTTGTTTTAGTCACTGTGACCTTGACCCTTGACCTTTTGGCCCCAAATGCAATAGGCTTCTTAGGATTACCAAGAGCAATACACAACCCAAATTTGAAGTTCATATGTTAAGTATTTCTCAAGTTATCGCGCTGACAAGATTTGTCCGGACACACACACACACCCACCCACATACACAAACAGTATGCCCCTTCAGCTTCGCTGCGGGGCATAAAAATGTAAGAGGGTTGACAACATTTCCCCAGCTAAGGCTAACTCCCCTTGTAAATGCGCTGTCAAAACTTTCCTTTTTTAAAAATTGCCCCATGACACCAGCGGCTGCGCCAGAAGTAGAAACTTTCTTTCTCTGCCTTTGAAATAATAAAGATCCCACAAATTAACCTGTGAGATTTTCTTTTGGTTTTATCTGCAAACTTATGATTAATTATTTTTTATCGTCTTCCACATCACCAATGATGGCAAACATTTATATTCTCTTCTGTTTACGTATTTTACGCTTTCACTTCACACCTCAAAATATAGGAAAATCGGGAAATTGTGTTGAATACATTTCACTTGTTATTTCTAAATGGGTCACTAGCTCTGGATTTATGAGAAGGGATATTGCTATCTCATGTGAAGTGAACTACATGTATCCTTGCAATCTAGAATAAAAGAAATTCTCAGACATTAGTTGCCATCAAGCAGACATTGTTTCTTAAAGGGAATGTACATCATTGGCTTTTGCTGTAATTTTCAGAAATGAACTATTTGAGGGGTTAGTATAATAGATCAAATATTGTTACACTGACAAGTTTGAAGCTTTGTGTTCGAAAATGCTGAAAAAACCAAGAAAACAAAAATGTTCAAGTAGTCTGGTTCCCTGACTCCACTAAAGATAAAATGCATCAATTTATAGATGCCGGAAAATTGTAAGGTAAGGAAACCAGTCTAGCTGGTCTGCACCCGTTCATGAACATGTAACCAATAGCAAACAAAATTTGGACTGAAAAAAAATGGTAAATTTGGAGCAGTAGTTGAGAAATAGTTGGATTTTCCAACGGTGGTCGGCCGACCACCGTTGGAAATTTATACAACATACCACTTTTCTTGAAAATGACTTCACACCAGGTGCCATAATTTTACAGGATGCTTCAGACTTTCATTTACCGACATCCTAGTGAGCTATTTCGTAAAAATTTGGTAGTTTTGTTTTCCAATGTTTGGAAATGTTGTATATTCCCTTTAAATTGAAACAACTTTTTTCATCGCGGCAGGCAGTAAGCAGTTTGTGAGAGGGCTAAAATCCTACGCATGGGGCAAGATCTGCCGAGTTTGTTGAAATCGGCTGCAGGTCTAAGATTCACCTCTTCTAACCTACCTGGTTCAATGTCGATTGGTGAGACTATGAGTTGCCTGAACCAATCACAAGCTACTTGGAAGGTCAAGAGAGGGCAGTGATCTGTGACGAGACGTACTAACTCTGTCTGATGAGTACGATGAACTAAAAGGATCAAATTAAGGAGAGGAAGAGGAACTGTGATGAATTGATTGCCGTGGTCAACACTAATCTGTTTACAATCATGATGGAACACTTAACACACAAATGTGAGGTGTTGTGGAAAATGAGACAGAACTGGGCAAAGGTCGAAATGAGGGTTTGCATGTAGTAGGAAAGAGAATAAAATACTCCTGATAAAATTGTTTGTTGCACTTCAATCGGACATTCTGTTGACAAGTTATAGGGTAAAGATCGCATTTTATCGACAAGTCAATAAAGTAAAATACTGAGAAAAAGGTCTTTAAAGTTTGAGTTTTGACGACGTAAAAATGAAAAATGCCAATTGTTTTTTTGTCAAACTCTTGGAAATAAAGCAGACTCATGAAAATATGTCGGACTCATGAAAATATGTCAGACTCTTGAAAATATGTCAGACTCATGAAAATATGTCAGACTCATGAAAATATGTCAGACTCATGAAAATATGTCAGACTCATGACAATATGTCAGACTCATGACAATATGTCAGACTCATGACAATATGTCAGACTCATGACAATATGTCAGACTCTTGAAAACATGTCAGACTCATGAAAATATGTCAGACTCATGACAATATGTCAGACTCATGACAATATGTCAGACTCATGACAATATGTCAGACTCATGACAATATGTCAGACTCATAACAGTATGTCAGACTCATGACAATATGTCAGACTTTTGAAAATATGTCATGTATGTCAGACTCTTATAAATATATCAGACCCTTTTAAATATATCAGACTCATAACAACATATGTCAGACTCATGAAAATATATCAGATTCATGAAAATAGATGTCAGACTCATGAAAATATATTGTAAACTTGTAAATAAAAGTTGTGGACAGACACTGCTTCAAAAATGGACAAGAACACAGACTTTGTAAGAAGTGACATTTGTGACAACTGATAAAGTGGCAACCCCCCCCCCCCCAGGATCCTTTTGAACACAGAAAATGCAACTCAAGTTGGCGGGTTTCTAGTGTACAAATTTTGAAAACACAACTGCAGTGTAAACCCCCATGAGGACAGAAAACAGGTAAACAAATTCTGTAACATACATTTGTAACTCATGTTAAAACAAAAATTGTTTCGGCATATGTTATAATATTTATAAAGTGTTTTAAAGGAATTTCCCTTCCCTTCCCTTTTACGAGTCAAACTCTCGAACCTTGCTGTTACTTACTGGAAAAACTGTACGAGAATTCCTCATCACTGTCATAATCCAGCAAGGAGTAGGTACAAGTAGGAGAGTCATCCCTTGATGGGTAACCAACCTACAAGTAAGGGACAGACAAATTTATTCACAATTAATTTACAACAAAATGTTTTGTAACACCTCACCTACAGATTCTGTCTCTTGATTGGCTGAAAATACGTCACATTTGTTTGTTTGTTTGTTTGTAATTCTTCAGCAGCAGGCCGGGTAGCCCACAAAAGTTTCTCGACTCATTTCCACTGGGGAGTCCTTGGTAGAAGCTATAGAAGGAAATAACAGTTTCAGAGGTGGGACGAAAACCCCAGAAAGATATTCTGGAGAAATTGCACGGAATCAGGCAGGGACTGAAAACCAAATCCACATATTGGCCCGGGTGGGATTCGAACCCAGGCCACAGCGGTGGAAGGCGAGGAAAGTACATTGTACCTCTTATGCCAACCTGATTCCCTTGACATGGTATTTGCTATTTCTTATTATTTTACCACGCACAGCTAAAAAGACTATTCATCGGACAAGAAGACTTCACACTTCTGACCCGTATGTATAGTACGGGTCAGGAGGGGGAACTGGTTTGTCAACTTCCAATACAAAAATTCCGATGCGAGAATCATCGCGTGCGCGCTTGGTAAACAGCAAAACTAGCAGCTAACACATGACGGAGAACGGACCAGTGAGAATGGAGCTCTCGCTCATGAATATGTATGAGGCATATTAATTCTTGACGATGAATACCTTTTGCAGTTTTGCTGTCAGTATCTGCAGGATCTGTGGCACTTTTCCTTGAAGACTTGGATCGAGAGAGATCTGATCATGGCGAAAAAATGCAGACAGAAGAGGAACAATCACGGAGCACAGATGCATGCTGGGATGGCCCAAGAAAGCCAGCAACGTCTCCAGAAAATCTGGAAAGCTTTCAGGCCGACCAACATCCTTCAACTCTGAGCCCTATTAAGTATGGAAAAAGAAAGACATCCATACACAATACTGTTAACATGAAAACATGGAAAAGGGAAAGTACAGGGTGAGTAAAAAAGAAAGGAAACCCAAAAGTCAGGACCAATTTTGCAATGACGTTTTTTATGTTTTTCATACATCCCTATGTGAATTGTGAAAGAATCTGAAAGAAAGTTATCTTTTTTGTGATCCATGGACAAAACTTTCAAACGGTGTTTGTGTTTAAAAATTAAATTGTACATGTAAGCGTGACTTTTCATCTCATCGATTTCAGAGAGAAAGAACATACCCATAAGATGCAGAGCTGGGCGCCCAGCCCTGTCAAAACCTGACAGAGTCGTTTCATAAAGATGTAATTTTCCTCATCCAACCCAGCTGAGCACGCATTTCTGGAATCACAACAAAAAACAGGCAAAGACTGAGATTGTCAAGATTACTGGCTTACTAATGACTGAAGTACGAAGAGAACTTATAAAGATGCTGATTGAAAACAAAAATGTAAAAATTAAAGGTTGTTCCATGTTGAGTGACCCAAATTTAAAAAAAAGTTAAGCGACAAAAAAACATTGAAAGGCAAAATACTGAACACACAACAAATTTAAAAGGAAATATTTTACTGATCGTTAGGAAATGACAGTCTAAAGTATCCTGTAAAATCGTAGCTCCTGGTGTGCTGACATTTTCAAGGTCGGCCAACCAGCGTTGGAGAAAACTGGCGTTTTTTTTTTTTTTTAAACTGCTCTTAATTTTTCAGATCTAGTTGCATTTTCTTTGCAATTGATTTCACACCTGTGAGGGGGTACAAGCCTGCCAGACTCATTCTCTGACCTTACAATTTCCAAATAAATTTTTCTGAAAATTGCAGCAAAAACAAATGTTGTACATTCCCTTTAAGCTTCCACCTCCAGATCATTTCTAAAATGGCCCCTAAAGCATAGCCCCACAACGATGCAACTCAGTGGCGTAAATCCATGTGGGCAAGTGGGAGTGGGAGTGGGGGGGGGGGGGGGGGGGGTTCCACCAAAATCCTAAAAGTGCCATTTAATACATTTGGGCTGTTGGATTTGTGCCCAGGTTCATCTATAATAGAGAAAAACTCTTCTGGACACTACATTACACAAGAGGGCCCTGTTCAATATACAAATGTACATCATTTGCAACACTTTTGGATTTGTCTTATACAAGAGAAACAACTCTGAATTCTAAGGGGCCACAATTTGTTTACATAAGTGTGTATTACACGTTTATGATGTACACATGAAGTAAAAAAAAATTCAACTAAATCTGAGTTGATGAACTAAAAACCACACTGAACAACCCAAAGGACTACTTTCAAGGAAGAAAAATTAGAAACATTTTACTATATGTACAACCTGAAGTCATGATACACGCCATTTTGAACATAACAATACTGGAGACTAAATGTAACAAAAGACGATTTAAAATCAATTTTTTTTTCAGGAGAGTTCACACAATTACACTTTGAAAATTGCCAATTTTGAGTTCACAGCATGCCAAGGAATTTAAGGATATAACATTTTGGATTCCTTTGGAATGCAAAGATAACTTGATATTATGCAAGGGACTAGAATTCACACTTGTACTCACTGGGCAGCTGCAAGAATGGTCTTGATCGCATCGGCACTGAACAAGACAAGAAGGGGATACCTCTCTTCTGGTTTGCCCTGCGGTTGGACACGTAGAAGCAACAAATTAAAAAGTATGCAGATATTAACCCTAACCCCCTGAGGTCAAGGGCTCTTTGGGTGTCAAGTACCAAATACCACAGAGCATGCAGAATGGTACATGTGTTGTGCACACTTGTATGGAAAGAAATGCATACTACAGGTTACTACTCAGTAGTACTTTGTAGCTTTAGGTGAGGTTGGGGTTAAGATACTGATAGCAAATAGAAATGAACACTTTTAATAGCCAATGTACTTGGCAAGATTTGAAAAGAGGGTTTTCAAATTTTCCTTGAATTGCAAAACAAATTGCGTAACCATGTGTCCAAAATTGCCGACAGGCTGTCCAACAGCAAAAGAAAAAGCCAGAAACCCATCTGGCCAATTTGTCCTTAATATTTTTAATGAAGTTAAAACATGAACATAGAAGAATCTTATCGTTTCTAACGTGGAGGTATCGTTAATCTTTTTCAAATTAGTGGTTCATGTATAGACTCTGTGCATGAATAGTTTTTGTTACATCCTGTGTTAGGATACTGTGGTTTCGTTGGTCGAGAACGGCCATGTGTCCACTCCAGTCTGTAAAACCGTATGGTTAACCTCATATAAAATGCGCGTACACCCGCACATGTAGAACCTGCACGTGGGCACACGCTTGCGACTGCACTGAGAAATGCATGCAATGTGCAACCACTCATCGCAGTCTCATCATGTACATCAGGCACAAAAAGCATGCAGTTATCAAGGGTTACAACGCACTAATTTCTTTCATTTTTTTACATAGTAAGTTACCATTTATAATAATAATAATAATAATTTGGGAGGCTAATCATCCTTACTCGCAGCTGGTATGCTAAATTGCAAAGGACGCGGCTACAACATGATCGGGCCGCTGGCACGTAAAGGCGCCTATGGCTGCCGGCCACATCGACCCATATATGACCACGGAGCACAGCCTGAGATCGAAAGTGTTTAGTTTTTCCGGAGGGAGGAAAACCGGAGGGCCCAGAGAAAAACCCTTGTGGCACAAGAGAGAAAACCAACGCACAACTCTACTCACATGTGATCCGCGGCCGTCATTCGAACCGTGGTCACCTTGGTGAGAGGCGAGCACTTTACGCGCAAGCCACCCTATATCATTATCTCATTATCACAGCAGTCAACAATTATTAAATGGCATTTTGTCACCACACACAAGAGCTCCAATGGAAGAGACACCTCACTTGTGCGTGCTGGTCTGCGCATGTGGCACAAAGTATGCACGACTGATGTGAATATGAAAATGTACAACCAGTGGCATCTATGCACGAGCGCCAGGCGCTGCTGGCAATGCATTTATTATGAACATCTTCATCCCTTAAAAATTTGTTAAAGAGCCATTTTCCCTTGAAATTACAGTTAACTAAATTTTCACGGATTTTTCAGCATATTAAGCCAGATCAGGAACCCATCAAAACACCCTTAAGAAAGTCCTTTGTTACCAATGGAGATAGACCAGTGTACCGTTATGTATAACCAATGATAATCCTCAGTGGTCAGGGTCATTAAAAAAACGTGAAAATACCCTTACAGGATTAGTCCTATATACATTGTAAGCCCCATGTGAATGTCTGCGAAACATCTCTTAAAATTCTTTTCACGGAGAAATGGACTTTTAATGAAAGTTTAAGGGATCAGGTGTTCATAATTAAGGGTTCTTCCCTCTGGTCCCTCCCAACGTCCTCCTTGTAAACCGCTGATGAGTGGTGGCATTTATGCATGGAATCAATTATAATAAACACACACATAAAGGCAGGTTCATACTCGGCGTGAAAGCAACAACCGCAAACACCAATTTGTGACGCCAGGGCATCTTTTCGCGCTGCAAATTGGCAAAAGTTGAATACATTTCAACTCTGGCAAATTTTGCAGGGAATGAGTTGTGGCGTAAAATTCGCATTGCATTTGCATGAAGCATAAACTGGCCTTAACACAAAATACAGTCGACTCTCGTTAACACAAAGTTGGCTGGACCTTGCCAAAATGTTTGTTATATCAGAATTTTGTATTAAGAGGAACATCAGTCCCATTCATTGTGCACATAAATGCACAGTCAGGACCAAGGCTTTACGTTTGCTTTAACCAGAATTTGTATTAACAGTGTTTGTACTAATGAGAGTCGACTGTACATGCATTTTGTGAATTTCACCTTTCTGTTGACGATGAGCTGAAGCACCTCTGCTGCAGGACGTTTCAACTCTTGTATGTTGAGCAGAGAATACAACGTTGACAGTAGTGCATTGTTGTCAGCAAATATGTGTTGGCTTGCGACCCAGTCAACATATCCAGTCAATGTCAGTAGAACTGCCTGAGAAACTCGGATGGAGCTTGCTAGCTGTTAAAATGATACACACATAATATAATGGAATTTGGGCATTGGGGAGATGTAAATTTAATTGTGGGGGAGGGTTTGTTTAGTTTTGTCCAAGGGCTTACAAGAAAAAAAAATCACAAGCTGACTTGGGAGGAACTCGAACCCACAACCTTGTGCATGCTAGTGCAGACGTCTTAACACTCAACCACTGAGCTTGCTGAGGTTGGCTGTTCTGTTCAAATCCGAAATAGCATTGGTAAATATTGCAACCAATACCTTTCTAGATGACGGAATTTTGGTCTCAGGTAGATGTTAATTCCTTGCAGGGCTGTAGCCAGATTGGTGGAAGGCAAGGGTCGGGATTACTATTAGGTGGATCTTTTCATGTTGATTACGCATGGAAAAACATATTTGAGTATGTCAATTGTGAGGAAAAAGTGGACCTGCGGCCAGTTTTTAGGGGGGGGGGGGGGGTTGGGGGTTGGGGGGGGGGGAGTGTCGGACGGGCCCACGTCCACCTTGGACAACACTGAGCATACCGTGTTTTTGAAATTATATCAGTGAGGGGCAAAAGCAACTTCTAATTTCTTACAAGTTATCAGGTTCTCTCAATTACTTCAACCAGGCCCATGCCTTGCTGAACTCATTTAGTGAAATGCATGATTGGTCATCAAAAATTGACAGACTGGCGTACAAGTATATTTCAGGCATGCAACTGGGAAGCCACGAAAAGAAAGAGGAAATTCAAAGCTTTACGAGACCCTCTGCATATTTGTCAATGTTTAATGGCGTACAAGGAAGTAAATAAGAGGAAATCAGCTGATCCCAGAGATACCACAGGGTCTGCTTGAAAAACAACAGAACTGGGTCTGCTTAAAAATACCGGAATGGCTGCTTGAAAAAAAAAAAAACAGAACTTTTTTTGTGTGAAAAAGTTACTCCGAGTCCGACACATCTTTATCTTTTTTTTGTAGCCAAGCCCAGTTCCGTTCATTTTAAAATTTTGCTTCTATGGCCTTTAAGCTGTCGGTTTGTTCAATCACTTTGACTTTATTTATTTTGCCTACCCGAATTTCCAACGTAATATTCGACACGAAACATGCACAACACTGCTGTCGGTGTACATGTCCTTTGCACTACGCGCGATGCATTCGACGAAAACATGGTTGGTACCCGACGTTTTTGTATTCATATTTATCACAGCGATCGGAAACCACCGATAACTGAAATGATAGACTTGATTTCCAGGCTGAATGCTACGTGAACACGCCCGCAGGCGGCAGAGACTGTTTTCAAGACTACTTCAGCGTTGTGCCGTGTGTGTGCCTAAATATACTAAATCGAGAGCGCTAACAAGGTAAAAATCAATGCATTTCTACAGGTTTTCTTTTTTTTTCTCTTTTTTTTTGGACGGCCGGAATTCCGGTTAAAACCGGAAAAGTGGCATCTCTGTGATCCAAGGAAAACTTACATGTCAGGAACAGGACAGAAATAATGACGTATTCGAGAATTTCTCTTCTATTCACAAAAAAGCCTTTTACAGTGATCCCACCATGGTCCAACACGTGGTACAAATTCAACAAAGATGGTTTTTAAATATCATTTGACACTGTTATATTGGAAAAGAACGATCAAGTTTAACATACCTCTTTCTCAGCACCGGGTAATTGATTTTGCTGTTGATGAATGGCACACAAAATCAGAAATTATTCCAGTGTAGAATGAACAAACTGCTACAAACAGCTCATTGAATGGATTGACCTGAAATATCTATGTACAAGCATAAAGCAGGAAAGTTAGAACATTTGGCAAAGCCCCAAAGCAACACAGGGTCTGACTACAGTGCATTTTATAAAAAGGCACTCCTGTAAAAGTGACCTACATAGAACAAAAATACAGATATTTAAACGTTTATTCAGGATCTTTCATTTTACATTAACAGATAAAAAAAACTCCCATTCTTGCAGCTTAAAGGGAATGTACTTCATTGGCTTTTGCTGTAATTTACAGAAATGAACTATTTGAGGGGCAAGTATAATAGATCAAATATTGTTACACTGACAAGTTTGAAGTTTTGTGTTTGAAAATGCTGGAAAAACCAGGAAAAACAAAAATTTTCAAGTAGTCTGGTTCCCTGACTCCACTTAAGATAAAATGCATCAATTTATAGATGCCGGAAAATTGTAAGGTAAGGAAACCAATCAAGCTGGTCTGCACCCGTTCATGAACATGGAACCAATAGCAAACAAAATTTGGACTGAAAAAAGGATCAATTTGGAGCAGTAGTTGAAAAATAGTTAGGTTTTTCCAATGGTGGTCGGCCGACCACCGTTGGAAATTTATACAAAATACCACTTTTCTTGGAAATGACTTCACACCAGGTGCCATAATTTTACAGGATGCTTCAGACTTTCATTTACCAACATCCTAGTAAGCTATTTCGTATAAAATTGGTAGTTTTGTTTTCCAATGTTTGCAAATGTTGTATATTCCCTTTAATAGCCAAACGTATTAAGCCTGGCACTGCTTTGGTTTTCATGCATAGCCCTCCCTTCTTTTCGCAAAGATACTTACGAGTTGTTTTAATCTTTCGATGTGATGCGTCAGCAGATGAACCATGAATGTGAACAGTTCGGCCATGTGAGACGTCAGCGCTTGCAGGATATCTCTTCTCCGACTTGTCTGAAGGTTCTGGAAGGCCACAACGTCCTCCACCAATCGGAGCAGCACAAGAAGAACCAGTTCTGTTTGGGTATCCTTATTGTACAGAACACCGGAGGAATGGATACAAATGTTGTGAGGCAAATGTTCTCTACAGAAAGTAATAGGCAGGGTGATTTGGGGAGTTACAGGAAGTAATAGGCAGGGCAGATTGGGGTAGTCTAGGCAGGGTGGTTTGGGGCGATATAGGGAGTAATAGGCAGGGCAGTTTGGGGCAGTACAGGGAGTAATAGGCAGGATGGTTTGGGGCAGTACAGGGAGTAATAAGCAGGGTGGTTTGTAGTGTTACTGAGAGTAACAGGCAGTGTGGTTTGGGGCATTACTGGGAGTAATAGGCACGGCAATTTTGGGCGGTACAAAGACTAGTAGGTTAACGTATTATTCTTAATCTTACCCCATGGGAGCATAGCATGTTGAATTCAGACATCAATGTTGGCCAGTGCTGTGGCCATTCTCTTTTTATCATTTCTACCAGGATGCGAGATAAACCATCTTTGATGCACATTTGTTCCTCCAGCAGATCATGGGTCCCCTGAAAGCAAAATTGTATGTGTGTTAAATCCCTGACTTTTCAAAACAAATTGCTGTAAAACAGAACAAGTTGTACATTTACTGATATAGCTGATATTGGCAAGGCTCTATCATGTCAATACACTATGACGATCAAGGACATAGGACAGCCAATCGCGTGAACACGTATGTTTGCCCAACATGGTCACTTTTGACATGGTCTCAGTAAAATTTTCCCCAAGTCAAAAGTCCATTTCTTACATCGCCTCGGTATTACAAAGTATTAGTCCAATTCGAACACGGCTTAATAATATATTATAAACATTAGGTAAACTCACATTCTGAAAGTAGCTCAACACATATTCCTTCAAGGCCTGCTTGTCTGATGCACCTGCATTGATCCACTGAAATCTACATTAACAACAGAGAGAAATGCACACAATGTACAAGTACAGGGTGAGTCAAAAAAGCGGAACCCAAACCCCCTATATTTCATATTAAAAAAAATATATGTAGCACCAAAAAATAATACTGACTGGAAAGCCAATTTCATAAACTACTTTTAGATGAAAAAAATTACTAAAATTGCTCAATCCCTTCAAATACTATTACCATTTAAACACAATGACCCTAAAGCCTCACTCGTCCAAAAATGCGATTTCAAGAATCGTCATCGCAATTGTCTTCAAACATCACCAGCGATAAAACCTCAGTTTCAAAGTTAAAAATATCAAAGTCCTTCTGAAGGCCTGTCTTTTCAAAAAAGTTGATTTTATAAATCATATTGTTTGCCTAAGCATGGTTGTTAATAAAAATATTGTGTACTACAGTTGTTGACAGCTGTTAGAACAAGTATTCTGTGTCATTTTTTCTTTCTTGTTCCAAATAATCATAACACACTTTAAACTGTTTTTTTTTTTTTTTGGAGGGGGGGGGGGGTGGAGTGGGTTCTGCTTTTTTTGATTCACCCTGTACATCTGGTGACCAAAAAAAACATCAAGACAATTAAAAAAAAACAGGTTTCAAATGACAATCACAGCACTTTGGACGACATTTTAAGCAACTTTAAAAACAAGTGAACTGCGTGTGTCGCCGTTTTCTGTGGTCAATCCTTAGATTTTGTGTTCTTAAAAAAGTGAGATTTTGTGCATTTTTCAGCAACAACCTAAATGACCCCTACATGACCTTTGACCTCAGTAGTCCGATGAAGAATTGTGTCTCCCCACCCAAGGGTCACTTCATCCAAATATCATCAAAATTCATGAAATTCATGAAAACATGCAGAAGATTAATACATTTTTTTTCTTCAAAATCTTAATCTATACATGGGACTACGGTTAGACCTGTACAACTAGTGCAACTAGTCGCCAATGCTAAAAAGCATTGGTAGTCCCGACTATCAATTCCTAAATAGTCAACTACATTTGTAGTCGTTATGCCGTGATTAGTCACGACTATTGAAATTAGTCGCGACTATTGGAATTCACTAGTCGCCCACACCTGAAAATCTGTGATTTAGGCCTAAGTGATTAAAAAGTGGCCCAATAAAGATGCTTTAAGGAATAAAGATTTAACAGTAACAATGACAGAACATGAATGCTATTTCAGAGGCAAAAGTGTTTTCTAATGTGATCCCTATCCCCACAATGAATGATAACAAGTACACATGTGATTCCGTCATTACTTTGCAATTAATCCCAGGCTTTTTTCTAAGAACCATCCTCAAAGCTCCAAAATCCTCAAAAATTGTACACTTTATGTTCAAACGAAGGATACCGACTGCCCCAATCCTCCAAACTGTTGAAACTCACAGTGGTTTGCCTCCATATTAAACTTACTTAACACAATTCTCTAGAAGCTGTAGGCCAAAATGTCTGATGACCGTTGGGTTTCTGAGAGAAGCAAGTTGTTGACCACAAGCCATGCAGTGAGAGTATGGTGCAGTTTCCTTAAACTCTTCACAAAGCTGTATGTTAAAACAAAAACAAAATCCGATCACAATCAGATGAATTCATCATCTTTTCTGTTCCTAGTACATGTAGTACGTGTACAGTATGAACCAGTGAGTGCAACCCAATTTTTTTTTGTATGGTTTTTTTTTTTGGGGGGGGGGCACCTGGGGGGGGATCAATTTTCAAGGGGGCTCTAAAGTCAAATGAAACGTATCACATTGACAGTGAAGTATAATGTGGGTTTTTTAATACAAGATGTCCAATTGACCAATCGTCGTTTACGAGTTAGCCACGCCCCTGACACTAGGTTCAGACAGGCGTTCCAGAGTCGCGCCGAACCAAATGAAAGTCTAGAATTGAATTAAGTGCGTCAAAAGTCCGACGTCTGAAACAATTAGGATCGACTTGACGCGCTTGATGGCGAAAGATCGACTGTTGGAGTCGTTAGAACGACTCAGGAGCGACTTGGTTTCAGACGTCGCTCTAGTCATGAGCCGAACTCAATGCAAATGTATGTAAATGTATGTAAATAAGTAGTGACCTTCAAAAATGAGGACTGCAGGCGATGTGTTTCAAGCGCGACGCAGTGCTTATAATTTAAAAGTTTTCTTTTTGCAGATTTAATCCTTTCAAACACCAGATTTCAATGTCGTGTTACAGAGCAAAAACTTACAATAAATGTACGTCCCACTGTCGCCCCAATACAACACAAGATACATTTTTAAAGCGGAAAACCGAGACTTCCAGTATCCATGTTGTACAGGCACGGCGCAGTCTTGAAATACAAATTGTTCGTACGTGGCGTGACGTGCAAGAGATAACGCGAGCGCACATGGCGTACGTGCTAGCTGTCTTCTTCGATACGCGCGAATTTCGCGCAGTACGCTCTCAATCAGCGTCGATGCGTTGATTGCGTATTACACGCCCAGGCGTTTGCGTATTGAAGGAACGCGCACGCCCATGCATCGACGCTGCACAATCCTGTGTTTGTTGGTTTGTACACAATACTCCAATGTATTAAGTTCGCCTGACTGAAACCAAAATTCTAATAAGGTCGACCTGCCCAGGGGTCGCTCCTAATCTATTTGGTTCGGCGCGACTCTGGAACGCCTGCCTGAAACGGGGGTGAGACAACCCTTTAGAGTTTTGTACACTAAGTTTTTGTTTGTCTCAGATTTTGCGCGTACCGCGTCCGTTTGTATATATCATGTTATTGGACAATATTCACAAGCTGCGTTGACACGATAGGTCAATTGGGAGATGGACTGGTTGTCCATTTACTATTCCCATAAATGTGACTGAAATACTGGACTACCTCCGTACATCAGTCACAGAGCCACGTACGGCCTGTGAGCGGAGCGTCCCGTTGCTAGGGGAGTCAAAAGTTAATTAAAGATCGAAATCATTTTGTCAGCAGAAAATCAACCCAGCTATAGTATGACTGCTAAATAGCACAAAATTGTTAAATTTGGTACCTTCAGAGGTCTAGTTATATATTCAAAAATCATGGTAATTTGTCAAAGAATGCAGACGGTTTTGAACAAGCATGGCGTCTCTGCTATTTACCAGATTGTACGTTTCCCGGCCACCCTAATAATAGTCAAGAGGCCAAAGGGGTCAAAGAACCAGACAGGAGCTTTAATCATCTACTGAGCATGCTATGAGCGTGCATCAACTTTGGCAAAGCGCACTGCGGCTGTTACCTGTCATTCCAAAATCTTTAAAGCCCTCTGCAGTGAAGCGCGCCCTCTTGTGTGCCCTCTTCATCCGCGGTCACGTATTGCATCCGGGCACTTCACAGAGCGCAAACATGTGCAAACGAACCTAGAAATTACGGAACGATTCCCATATCTGACCATCACCAATTTTTCACTTCAGTCCCTGACCAGCCATGAGAAAGTGATAATATGCCCTAAAAAGGCAAATTTAGCACAAATAGCAGGGAAAATCATGAAAATATTGAAGTAGGCCCTTTTTACTAAGTCTAAGATTAGAAAACACACTTAACAATTTTCAGACCGGTCTCACACGGTTTGTGCACAGACATGACAGACATGACATGCATGACAGAGTGACGATGGCCAGATATGGGCCAATGGGACTGGGAATCTTCTCGCACAACAAACCTGATAAGCCTGCAGACGCCTTTCTTGAACCACTTCAGGCTTCATTGCAACACTGACCGCCTCGGTTAGCTTCGCGCACCACCTTGACACTTCTTCGTCCATGGTTTCATTTGAGCAGGTGGCAACGTGGATCACGCATGTAGCACCATCAATCCATCAATTGATTGAACATTGAACTAAAGTACATGCCGTATACAATGCGGTCAGTAGAGGGCGTTATCAAGACTGATGACAAGCCATAGGTGACCGTTTTAGCCGATTTTCGGCTAACTTTGACAGATTTTTTGTTAAAAGCGATAGTCCGTGGGCTGGGGGGGGGGGGGGGGTCCCAGTGCACCCCCCCAACCCACCGCCACCTATAATTTTTGGATCCTTGGCATGTCCCCAATAGGAAAAAAGATGTTAACAGTGAAAATTTAGGGATGTTCTCTCTCAGCTAGGAGGCCAATTATTGGAATTTCATATGATTGAGCTTCGGAGGCATTTTCTTAGCACTAGGGTTGGAAGGGGACGACACAAAATGCTATAACTTGAGCAGATCTGGACTGATCTTAATCAAACTCAGCACACTTATCCTTTATTAATAGGTCTTTCAAAAAAAGTTTGGTTGTCATGGAAACCAACTAAAGAGGGCGCTACAGTGAAACGAAATATATATACATATACAATTATTATACATTATTTTGAAAATTTTAAGAAAAGTTGCCCATCATTAGAATTACAGCTTACTCTTCGTCTTGCAAGCCACCAAATCATAAAACAGGAGTTAAGATATGATTATCCAACTTCTATTGGCAAATTGAAAATCATATTCATTTTTAATAAGTTCAACAACGTCCTGTTGAATATAGGGTTCTGGTATTCTTAGCTTTTGGGTTGGTAGGTGTCAGTTCAATCTTTCAGTTACATGCATACACCTTTTCCAATCTTGGTTAAGCTTGACATGGTATATGTTCATATATTTATCTTTCTAAAAATGCCTTCAATGGTCATGGAAACAGGCGCGGTTCTAGGACCAATATTTTTTGGGGGCTAGCAGGGTGGATCCAGAATTTTTTTCAGGGAGGCGTGCTAAAATGTAGACTGGTTATCTTCTCCAGACACTTAGGCCTCCGAAAATCATGCCATATTTTCAACGGGGAGCGCCAATAAAATCCTAAAATCATTCACACTATATTAACTACAAATGCACCCTTGTCACGACTATTTCTTTAGGGGGAGACCGTTCGCATGTACATCACAATCCTTCTTTTTGCTAATGCAATTTCTTTTTACGGAATTTATTTTTTTTATGGGGGGGGGCTAGACACTTTGGGGGGGGGGGGGGGCTAAAGCCCCCGAGGGCCCCCCCCGTACAACCGCGCCTGCATGGAAACCGTCTACAGAGCCTGACTCTATACCCAGATAAATATAATAATATATATACATTTTTCAATAAGTAGAGATTTTGTGAGTTTTTAGTCTTAGTGGCAGTTAAATAAATGGAAAATAAAAAATAGCAACATGGATGTGATCCATTCTAGCCTGTGGGATGCATACTTGTAAACACAAATGGGGTAAAATATTGAAATTACTTAATATTATGGAAGATTTTGTCATCGCAAAACTATGCGCTAATCTAAGCAGAGATGGGAATATTCTTAGCTCAGCGATGGACGTACGGGAGGTACATTAGTCAACAGAAACACAAGCAACTATCAAATAATTATTGTCCCACTGAAGTTGAGCAACTGTTTACATTTTTCACTGCTTCGGATGGAGACTACCCAAGAGATGATAGGTTTTACATGTTTATCAGCATGGTTCACCTGTATGTGGTTCATTTTGTATTTAAACCCTGAAAGAATCAGTTTAAGATTAAACAAAGAGACTTATAACTTTGTGAGGGTCTTACAAGAACCAGGGGAAACTCCAGGTTTGGGACATATGACAGTACACTCTGCTCTTCGCCAGGAGTAAGAGGGATTCCAACACCCAAAGGGTGTAGGATGACTGGGGCAGGAGATGTTACACCACATGTAGCTGATCATTGGGGGTATCAAGGAAGTTGTGAAATAAAGGTTGTCAGTGGTACAGGAGACCCATAGACTGACTACAAGGTGTGGGAATTAAGCTTTCCGTAATATAGGTGATCGACCCTTTGGATTGTCTGGAAGAGTATAGGGCACCAGATATCACTGTTAGATGAACCAATATCTTGGGGGTACCGTGTCCTGGAATAGACCCAGTGGTTGTCCTCAGACTTTTCAGAATCTCCAGGGAACTGTTGGTCTCTTGCATCCGATTGGGACAGGTTGGAGATCACTACAACTCTATTATAGTCTTGGGCAGCTGAGTACACGTAGAAGTAGAAGTGGGGAGGTCACTATAACAGCCTTGTCGATGTACACTTTCTTTACATTGGCAAAGGATTCTGACGATTCTGAGTCTGAAGGTTAGGTCTTGCTGGTTCTTGTGAGATTGCAGATTGTGGTTTTCGGGGTGTTGTATGAAGAAAGTTTTGATGCCATGATTCAGGTCAGGATGCGTTGAAAGAACAACTCTCATTAAAGGAAGGGGGTGATCTTTCGCATGTGACCCTAATTAATGGGCCTTTTAGGTATAGGAGAACCTTTGGTCGGGAAGTAGAGGAGCAGTAGATTCTCTTACCCATGCTGCCAGATGATAAAGGTGTCATCACTTGACGATGAAGGAGCCAACCATGTGGTCTGTGCTCTGCCGTGATGATGGTGGTCTGCCCAATTTTTTTATTGGCCACAATTGATGACATAAGAGATGCCATTGACTTAGATGACACACAGGTAAGCAGATTAATACCATGAAACTTGTCTGGTGTGGGGTCTGTAGTATCCTTGTGTGTAGGGCCCAGTTAAAGTCTTTCTTTTCACGATGCTATACAGATCAGTTGGCGCTGAGTATGTTGATAAAGAGAGAAATGACTCCCAAGCAGACTACTCTGACAGCGTTTGACTGGGGGTGAGGTCTGAGGTGAAGATGGCAAACTCTCAGAATCCTTGATGCGGTGTTTGGTGTTGCTAACTAGTGGATGAAGCATTTTGGTGAGGTGTCTGGCCGTATTGTGTGTGGGGTCCCCTTTGGAGGCCTTGACGGGGCGCACTGGAGAATCCGGCTTTGTATCATCGGTTGTCTGAAAAAGATTAGGTATTTCGAGCTGTTGGGTAGGAGGATGAACAGTTTGCCTTGGAACATCTTCTCGATGGACGGGTGGGGGTCCTTGCAAAAGGGACGGTATGAACCCAAGTCAAGGATATCCCACACCTTGCAGTTATTATAAAGTCTGCACTTGACAAAGTGGTGCTGCCTTTGTCAGTTTAGAAGATGTGATTGGACTTGTCTTGACAAAGGGAGGTGATGGCTGCACGATCTTGTCTGTAGATTTTGGGATTGGCTGGCTCGTGTTTCCGGAGGGCTCGGTGTATCTGCAGGTGGACCTCGTCAGCGATGGACTTGTAAAGATGACAGAGGCTGAGCTTTGTGCACTGGATGATCTCTTTGACTGCGATGATTGGAGGAATGGGCAAAGTTAACCTAAGCCTACGACGGTGATCTCTTTAGGAGACAAGAATCTGTGACTTGCTGTCCTGGGAGTGGACATGGGCTGGAGTCGCCCCCCCCCCCCCCCCACGGCAGTGACCGAAAAGTTCACAAATAAGGCAATTTGTCACTTGTGAGAGCCCTTCAGCTCCCCCCCCCCCCGGACAGCCTCACCCCCAGCAATAATCACTCTGGATCTGCCCTTGTTGATATTTACATGTGTAATGTATAATGTACCGGTACCGCCCATATGTCCATCGCTGAGCTTAGAATATTCCCATCTATGCTTAGATTAGTGACATAAGCATAGTTTTGCGATGACAAAATCTACCATATATTAAGTAATTTCAATATTTTACCCCATTTGTGTTTACAAGTATGCATTCAACAGGCTAGAATGGATCACATCCATGTTGCTATTTTTGATTTTCCTTTGATTTAACTGCCACTAAGACTACAAACTCACAAAATCTCTACTTATTGAAAAATGTATATATATTATTATATTTATCTGGGTATAGAGTCAGGCTCTGTAGACGGTTACCATGATGATTCAAAGCATTTTCAGAAAGATAAATATATGAACATATACCATGTTAAACTTAAGCAAGATTGGTAAAGTATTTTGGTAAAGCCATGTATTTGGAAGATGGACCTGACACCTACCAACCCAAAGGCTAAGAATACCAGAACTTGATTCAGCAGGACGTTGTTGAACTTATTAATAATGTATATAATTTTATGTTTGCCAAGACCTAACTCTCAAATTAGCTCAATAGAAGTTGGATAATCATAACGTAATTTCTGTTTTATGATTTGTTGGCTTTCAATACGAAAAGTAAGCTGTAATGTTTAATGATGACCAACTTTTCGTAAAATTTTCAAAATAAACATGTATATATATTTCGTTTAACTGTAGCGCCCTCTATACTTAGTTTCCATGGCAACCAAAGATATTTTTTTGAAAGACCTATTCATGAAGGATAAGTGTGCTGAGTTTGATTAAGATCGGTCAAGGTCGGCTCAAGTTATGGCATTTTGTGTTGTCCCCTTCCAACCCTAGTGCTAAGAAAATGCCTCCGAAGCTCAATCATAGGAAATTCCAATAATTGGCCTCCTGAGAGAGAGCATCCCCAAATTTTCACTGTTAACATCTTTTTTTCCTATTGGAGACATGCCAAAGATCAAAAAAATATCGGTGGCGGTGGGTTCTGGGGGGGGGTGCACTGGGACCCCCCTAGCCCACGGACTAATTGGGAACCTTCGGAAATTGGGGACCATTTACTGTGCTCTATTGATCAACGTCCAATATTGAATGTAGAAACAACTCACACCCATACCCACACAATCATTGGTGTCTTTCTACCTTTATTGGAGTTTGAATATAAAAGGCGTAACATCTTTGTAATATCTTTTTACCAACCCCACAGTATGAGATGTGACTCCTTCCCAAAAAGAGGACATTTGACGGTCCAAACAATAATTGTTAATGTTGCAAAATTTAATTTTCAATTCGATTTTCTTCTCATTCACTGCAAAGTCTCGGGGACACAGACAGGGATAATGTAATTTTTAAAGTAATTTTTTTTCGCATGAGGACCCAATCTAATTATTGATGCGAATTGACCACAGCAACCATACAATATATCTAAAAATTTAAACTGCAGATAACCTCAATATTGATCGACTTTCGTTTGTTCTACAAAAAGTCAGCTGCATGCCAACTTGACTGTTTCGTGTCAAATCTGACCAGTTTTTTTTTCAGAGTGTAAACAAATAGGGTTCTCAACGACAGTTTTGTAAATGGAAGAAACATTATAGTTATACTGTAACTCAGACCTTATGAAGTATTGTTAGTATACGATATACAGTACTTAATTGTGACGACAGCGTATCCATCTTTTAATGCCGGGGGAAGGACCACCAAAATCACTGTATCGGCACCCGAACCCTTTTTAAACCCCTCTTTTTAAACGATTCCGCGGAGGGGGGGGGGGGGGGGGGGGGGGGCAAGTTGGGCCTCTGACCCCCGATGGATACGCCACTGCTCCTGGATTAAAAACACACGTTTTAAACGATAGCATAAAGCGTTACAATTTCGCATCATAAATTAGGAAGTCTAATTCAGCAGTAAGTCTAATCTCAGAATATTGATCTAAATGAGTGTGCCCTGTACCCAACAAATGACAATATATTTTGTTTCCAATTTACAGCCGAACAATTGCAATGAAGAGTGCAGATCTGATGTCGTAGGTATAAAACCCCGACTAGCTTCAGATGGGAGACAGTTCCATAGCCATGGAATAACAGTTTCTTCTATGAGGTTTGTGTTGATGAAGTAATAATTAAAGATATAGTCCATCATAATTTGTGCATTTTGTTCGTTTGAAGCAACAAAAGTGTTCACAATCTGATACTGAACAACTAACCTGATGAAGTTTCGGCTAAGCTTCAGCTGTATATTCCGAGAAAAACAGCATTCTAGGATCTCAATTTCAAATCAAAAGTTACTGAATCATGTTTTGAATTTCAGCTATACGCGACGTCGCACACTGATCCGACGAATTATATAGCAACTGCGCGCGCGTGTGCGTCGTGCCAATGCTTGCGCGCGCTTCGCCAAATAACAAAACGAACTTCTAATTTAAATTTTCCTACGGTGCGTCTTAAGACGCACCGTTGGAAAGGCCTTCTTTCTTCAAAATGACAGCTTCCCAGAAAGAATAATTTCACAGGGAGTTAAGTTCCCTTACTGTCTTTCAACCAAGTTTGTTTTTCAACAATAATTACGCCAGTTAATTTTCGGATGGCTGCAAATGATGGACTATAGCTTTATATCTCAACTTTTAGAGCATATTGCATGATGTCTAATCATCAACAATCGTTTTGCTGAGAAATTGAGTCCAACAAATTCATGACATTCTGCTCGCTGTGGCCCCAAAGGAGCGTCAGACACTTCCAGCCCTGCTCCTGTGTGCTGCACAAATAATCTGCATTCCCTGGATTGAGCTTGGCTGACCGGAGGCCGTACACCAGCGACTGCGCGAACCGTCCGGCCACCAGGACGCGAAGCAGACGGCGCTCGGTGAGTGGCAGCGGAGCACGGGACTCGAAGCCCGCTAGCAGGTAGGCCGCAGCACGCAGAGGCTCCTCGCTACACAACATCAGATACATCATGGCCACCGCAATCTCATTCACCAAGCACGTGTACACCATCAAATCGAAATCAATCAGGCCGCTGATTTCGTAGTTGGCTGCCCGTGTTGTCTCATCCATAGATAACGCTGAGGATGGCACCACTAGCACGTTGTGATCGCTGTAATCGTGATGCACAATGCCTGCAATAGTGATACCGACAGGATAACTTGAGATGAAAAACAAAAGACTAGGCGAGTCTTGTAAAGCTTCGCGTGTATTCATGGAGACCGTATTAGTACACGATAAGCACAGCAAAAGGCACGCTTACCTCAAGAGGAAAAGTTTGCTGAACTTCGTGACGTAACAATGAAAATCTCCATGCGCGCGCAACGTTTGCACATACACGCCGCGCCGTGATAGTGCTTAAAGGTATAGTCCATCATTTGTAATTTGTGCATTTTGTTCGTTTGAAGCAAAAAACGTTCTAAAAATCTAAAGAAGGGTGACAAACAACTAACCTGATGAATTTCAGCTCAGCTTCAGCTGAATTTTTCGAGAAAAAATAACATACTTGGATCTCGATTTCAAATCAAAAGTTGCTAAATCATGTTTTGAATTGGGTCTGAATTCAGCGTCCGAGACACATTCTTACTGAGCCGAATGCAGCTTCGCGATGTCGATGCATGTCGCGCACTGATCCGACGAATTGTAGAGGGCGCGCGCGCGTGTGCGTCGTGTCAACGCTTGCGCGCGCTTCGCCGTATAAAAAAGAACTACTGACGGAAATTTCCAACGGTGCGTCTTAAGACGCACCGTTGGAAAGGCCTTCTTTCGTTGATTTCTTCAAAATGAAAGCATGCCAGAAAGAATAATTTCACAGGGAGTTTAGTCCCCTTGCTGTCTTTCAACCAAGTATGTTTTTCAACAATAATTACGTCAATCACTTTTTTGATAGCTGCAAATGATGGACTGTAGCTTTAAGGCTAGCGCAATGTTTTGCTCTAGAAAGCACAACTTTTCTGCTAATTGTTAAGCACCGCAATGAAATTGGGCCCTGAAAAAAACCCTCAATAGTCTCAGTGATTCATGTCGGCCTGACACTACACACGTCATGAAGGTGGAATTGTGAGCGACATGCGTTGATCACGGCATGCAGTATAATGGTACTCTATTATTATGGCCACACAGGTTAAAACAAATTGCCAGTCACGTTTTATCGTGCATTATGATATCTTCATTATAACGCGAACATCAGTGTACGATATGTTTGTTTACCTTTTCGTAATTCTCCCTGCATTGGTACCACAGTTGTTTCAAATGCCGCGATGACGTCATCAAGCATCGCCCTTCTTGTGATGTCTGTGACGAGATCTAGGTGTCGTCTGACCAACGGGACATTATCCAAACACCAAATGGTTCTGACAGCCTTGCGCCTCAGCGGCTCAACGTCACCCACGTAGGTCTACAACAAAGTTATCAGTAATTATAATGAATGTTTTCTGCGCTCAAACTGAAATTCTGAATTACTTGCGGCCTGATAATAATTCAGTTTTCCGCAATGTAGATGTTGATTCCCAGAATCCAGCTTTTTATGCCGGGGGAAGGGGGGGGGGGGCGGGCGCAAAATTAAGACTTTATACTGTATCGACGACTGAACCGTCATTATACCGTCTTAAAAAAATCCCAAAAGTGCCGCCCCCTCCCCCCGCCTCCACGCCGGATGCGCCACCGCTGGTTCCCGCACCCCCATCAAAATAGATAATGTACGATCGCAGGGGTCATTTCTGTTTGTGCCCTAAAATAAAGATTTTCCCATGCAGAAACTTGCTGCTTGCAGAGGTCAAAAGCACAAAACAAAATGAAGTTGTTTCGTTGCGATCGACGTTGAATCGCCTCGCGCCGGCGCCGCGCAGCGCACTGTTTACTCCGCATTTATGCGCCTTTACACGCTGTACCTCTTGGGAATTCTGCATGATACATCAAGTTCAACGGGCAGAAATCATAAGACTTGAGTGATGATATCCTCTAGAATAATTAGCATCAACTTAGTGGCAGGAAATTAACATTTTCACGTGTATGCACAAAGAGGACTTATTGAAACCGATGAAAAATTCAACATAACAGTATTATTTGCATAGAGAGAGTCTATGCTGCAAGGCTTAAGTGGTGTGGTCATAACTACACGTGAGTGAAAATTGTCATGCATGCAGCGCGGTGGCACCCCATATCATCACTTACGTCTTGATTTTACCCTAAAAGGGCAGGGTTGTTTTGACCATCTCTCAGCCCGGGGGGGGGGGGGAATTCCGTTCCCTTCTAAGATCTCGGCCATCGAGTGACGAAAAATTTTGGAAATCTCTACATGCATAGAACAACTTATCATGAACATACCCAAGAAACATGACTATATAGGTCAACAAGTTTTGGAATTATGGCTATGCACGAATGGTTATTCTGCTCTGTGTGCACTACGTATATGGGGAAATTCAGTTTTCACGTCGCGTAGCGCCGGAAAATGTTTCGCTGCGAGGCAACCCGTGGTCCGCGATTGTTATGTTTTTGGTATCAAACGGATGCGAAAGGCTCCAGGCTAAAAAGTCAGAACAGCTCGGGTCGCGAAAAAAACATTTTCAACTCTATCGCGGAAAAATTCCGCCCGGCCCCTTTAGGGTTAAGTCTTTATAGGCGCATACCTGCAGTGCAAGTTGTAAACGACCCAAGTGGTGACCGGCCTTGTAGAAGAATGAAGGTGGGAGTGGCGCCGCATCGTTGAGTGTCCGTCCCTCAATATAACGGCACATGCGAACGGCCGATAACTCGTACACACTTTCCATAGCCTGTTCTGTGGAGAAAGGATGAAGGAATTTCAGATGTTGCAAAGTGACATGGACCGCTGGGTGGGCGTACATCGGTGGGGGAATGGTGGGAAGTGGACATGCCCCCCCCCCATTTTTTAAAGTGGGGGGGGGGGAGTATACTATTGTTTGTCCCCCCCCCCCCACTTGTTTCGTTCCCAAATAAAAATTGTAGGGCTGCATTATTTTGATTTTATAGCTCAGAGTAGCTGATTCATCCGGTCGTATGAACAGTGGCGTCACCAGACTTTTCAGTCTGGGGGGGCACAGGGGGGGCACCAGCATTTGATGGGGGGCACTTAGGTGGATAAGGATCGCCGTCCTGGGGGAGGGGTCTAAGGGGAGGGGGTGCCCCCCTCCCCTTTGGAAAATTTTCGCGTACGGAGGATGGGCTAGATGCAAAATGGTGCCACATTTGATGCTAAATTCGATCTGAAGATATCTCCAGAAATTGCTATTTAACCAACTCAGATGATGGGAGTTGAATATAACAAAATATATATATATATATTTTTACCAACCCAAATCTCAGATGGGGGGGCACTCGGGGGGGGGGGGGCACTAGGTTTTCCAGGGGGGGCACGTGCCCCCCTGCCCCCCCCCCCCCCCCCTTGGCGACGCCACTGCGTATGAATCAAAACTAGCCTTTAATTTTACTACCAATTTTTAAGCATTTAATTTCACTACCAATTTTTAAGCATTTTAATTGCATCTGTATGAATAAAATGAAGCATTTGCTAAATCTGAAAATATACATTTGACTTTTTAGCTTTTGCTAGACTATAAGCGTTTACTTCGTTTCGTATGAAAAAAAGTTGTAAATGCTTCAGAGTTCAAGTATTTACTAAGTAAATGCTTAAAATCTGAAGCATTTACACCGTAAAAAAGTTGGGCAAAATGGGTTGATAATTCGACCAGTGCTGGCCGAATTACCCCATTCAACACAATATGAGGTAATTTCATACCAATGTCGGGTAAATTACACTGCCCAACAGTATTTTACCCAACGTTTTTACAATGTACTCCTTTTTGAATTTTGCCAGTGTGGTTGGTTCAGGACTTGGTTGGGGCTACCATGAAAATGTACAGCAAATACCTTTTGCACAGAAGTTGCTGCATGCATTCCTGTTAATCTCGTTAACTGAATAAAATAAAAGTACATTTAACACCCTACACTTTATTTCCAATCACATTTACATGAAATGTATATGATTAATCAAATTACAAAAAGAAACGATAATTTCGCGTTTTATTCACAATCTGCAAAGTGTTACTGTGGAATTTCGATGCAGCACAGAGGGATTAAGGAAAAAACTTTACGCAACGGTATCTGGGGACTGAACAAAATCAAATAATCGTCCAGTCTATTCAGTAATAATTCTTTTAAACGTTGATTTTTTTCCTCAATATTTCAACTAAAACTTTTTATATTAAATTTTCGTAGATTTTACCGGCTGATATGTGTGTCTATGCAACCGTGACTTCGTCTGCAGGACACTGTAGAGCTTTACATGAAAGTATATACATTCTGCAAATTCTGCATTTCTGCATTGCTTCATCATTTTTGCTCGGGATTTGAGGATTATACGCCATATAACAATGCTTAAGATTAGTATTCAAATCAGCATACAGTACAGGGCTAAAGGCGACTGCTTTTTGGTAAGGGAATAAATGTGTGTTCAGGAGGTATTATAACACTCTGTTTAAGACCGGTGGGAGTCTGGATGGGTGATAATTACCCTCGGCTTCGCCGCTCGTGCTAGTCTTTTTACGTGTCAGCATCCGGGGTGCGTCACGTGTCCGGGTAAGCGCGTGGGACTTAACTAAAGGCTATAGTTCTGCCAGTTACTGGTACAGAGACTTGCCTAATGCACGTCCTTTGCGGCACTAAAACAGGCTTTCCTCAAGAAATACGGCGAGCCACACGAAGGCATGGGTGGGATTATCGGAGCTGGCCGGCAGGAAACAACAGCCCAACGAAGCGGTCGAAAAATACCCGAGCGACATAGAAAAACTGTGTTGTCAGCTGAAACGATCACAAGAGGAGAGAATGGAGGCATTCATAAGAGGACTGCTTCCCAACCCCAGAGCCCGTGTCATCAAATCTCATCCGAAGACAATGGATGAGGCGGTAACGCAAGCTAGAATTGCTCGGTCGACATCTGCAGCGTAAGAACCAACCCCATCCACTGATGTGAACGTGAACTCAGCAATCAAGCAGCTGTCTGAACAGATCGCTTCCCTCAAAGACCAGATGACGACAGTTTCAGCGGCCACTCAGCCATCTCTCCGAGAGCCACCAAGCAGAGGTCATTTTGCTAGGGTGTGCTTCCAACGAAACCTACCAAACAACATCAATGATATTCATCCTTCTAATCAATGACTAGAGACTAGACCCAGAGTTCCACACCTGAGTAATGTTTCTGCCGAGTCAGGCGGGAGCAATCTAGTTCAAGTCAGAATTGGCTCGGACTCCCGATTTGCGTTAATTGACACTGGGGCATTGATATGGTGCCAAGATCAGTTCCCTTTGGGTCAGTCAGATGTTCCCCTAATTTCCGGTGTCGCTGGCAATAACACAAGTTGTGGACAAAGTGGTTCTGCCGATTTTTATCGGGGAGCAAAGTTTTGAACACCCTTTCTACATCCTCGAAACTATGAACCATGAAATTATTCTTGGAGTAGACTTCTTGAAAGAGCAAAAGGCCAAGATATCGTTTGAGGAAAATCACGTAGTGTTCCCCGATACACCTTCGATTCCATTAGTAGGTAAAGAGGCAAAGAAAGTGACTGTCGGAGCAGTGTGTAATGTATCGTTGCCAGCTAGAACGCAGACTGTTCTTCCTGTTCAGTGTAATAACATTAAAGCCCAGTACGGTATCATTGAGCCAGTTCCATCTCTGTATGATGATGAGCAATTAGTAGGAGCAAAGTGTGTTGTTAAATCTGTTCAGGGCAAATCAGTATACCAGCTTATAAATCCCACTGACATTGATGTAGAGATTAAGCGTAACCAAGTAGTCGGCTTTTGGGAACCGTTGTCCAATGACATGTGTAGGCCATATTGAAAGTTTTGAGGTAGACGGAAATGAGACATCTATATAGGCCTACATCATTTTCTCTCCTGATTTTGACACGCATTTGAAACACCTGCACGCAGTCTTTGACCGCCTTCGTCGCGCAAATCTCAAATTGAAATCACAGAAGTGTCACTTTGCTGCGAAAGAAGTAACCTTTCTGGGGCATGTCATGTGGAAGCAAGGGATCAAAGCTGAAGCAAGGGATCAAAGCTGATCCAGCCAAAACATCAGTAATGACCTCCTTCCCTGTTCCTAAGGACCCGTCCGAAGTTCGAGCATTTCAAGGGATATGTAACTATTACCGGTACCGTAGAATTGTGAAAGGTTATGCCACCACAGCAGCACCCCTAAACAAACTCCTGCAGAAAGACGTGCCATTGTGTGGACAGGAGATTGCGACAATGCTTTCCTCCAGTTAAAGCAAGCGCTCGTCTCCCCACCGATCTTAGGCTATCCTAAAGTTTATTCTAGCTACAGATGCTAGTGGGTTTGCCATCACCATACATCCTCTCACAAATCGACGAAAACGGTAAAGAGGTTGTCATTCAATACGGTGGGAGAGCGCTCACAAAGGCCGAGCAAAACTGGTCCATAACCGAAAGAGAACTAAAGGTCTAGCTGTAGTACAAGGAATTCAGTTTTACCGGGTGTATCTAGCTAACTGAAAGTTTCGCGTACACGCAGATCACGTTTCTCTGCAATGGCTCAGATCTATACGCAATGCTGTAGGCAGTCACACCAACATTGTGAGAGGGAGCTTTGTGCAATAATAATAACAATACCTTAAATACCTAATTATACGCAAAAAAGCGCATGCACTCCCTTGCATTAAAAGCAACTAGTTCTAACCAACCACAGAAGTCAATGTGGTGGTCAATGCGGTGTCTATACAAGTTTGATCCTTCTGTTCTTATGGGATGCTGCAAACTTGTCAACGAACTCATCCATGTTCAGCTTTTCAGCGCGCCTCCTCTCAATGGACAACATGCCAAGGTCGCTCAGGCGTTCATTCCCCATGGAGTTCCTAAGATATGTCTTGATTAGCTTCATTGCGGAGAAGCTTCTCTCCCATGAGGCTAAGCCGCTAGGCCTACGTTTAGTCGATCATGCGTCATTGTAATGTTGCGTGTCTCATTACTTATAAAGAACGGACTTACTCACCATGAATTTCAGTAAGATTGGTGGTTCATTCTCTGGGAACTATCAAAGAAATATAAGGAAGCTTGAATTGCCTTCCGCGATACCGCGTTACCGTGATAATTTATCACAGAAATCCGGAATTCAAAGATAAATCCTTCCTCGATACAGCGTTACCGTGATAATTTATCGCAGAAATCCGGAATTCAAAGATAAATCCTTCCTCGATACCGAGTTACCATGATAATTTATCACAGAAATCCGGAATTCAAAGATAAATCCTTCCTCGAAACCGCGTTACCGTGATAATTTATCACAGAAATCCTAAATTCAGAGATAAATCCTTCCTCGATACCGCGTTACCGCGATAATCATCACATAAATCCGGAATTCAAAGATAATTCCTTCCTCGTTACCGATTTGTCTTTGAATTCTGGATTTCTGCGATAAATTATCACGGTAACGCGGTATCGAGGAAAAGGTATCTCTGAATTCCGGATTTCGGCGATAAATTATCACGGTAACGCGGTATCGAGGAAGGAATTATCTTTGAATTCCGGATTTCTGTGATAAATTATCGCAGTAACGCGGTATCGAGGAATGTATTTTCATTGAATTCCGGATTTCTGCGATAAATTATCACGGTAACGCGGTATCGCGGAAGGCAATTCAAGCTTCCGTACCGCTGTGCTATACTTTTCCTCGGGCTGTTTTCTGAAGTCTACCAAGCCCGGTACACAGTGAAGGACACCCAGGAATGTGTTATGTAACACTTCCTGTGAGTCAAGTCATTCCATGGTCTTGCAAGCATTCTAATTTATGTTCCCAGCCTCATGCATGTGTGTGTGTGTGTGTTCATGGTGGAATAATTAAGAACGAACTCCTTGGTCCGTGTTCCTTGCTCGTTCGTGGTCATTTTGTCTTTATTTTTGCAACCACAGCTTAAAATAAATGTGCATGAATCGTGCTTATGTAACGTGCACTGTGACGTGCTCAATTATCCGCCGAATCCACCCGGAGAAGCTAGCACGCCGGAGAAGTGAGACCGTGACACCGGTTGTCAGCTTACTGGTCCGCGGTCGCCGGTCGAAGGGTCGTTTCTCAGTGGTCATCATGTGGATCATTCGCGACTATTTAGATTGAGATCAATGATAATTTTTTTAGAAACTCAAAATCTCAGTTGGGGGAGGGGGGGGCGATTGGGGGGGGGGGGGCGACAAGGTTTCATGGGGGTCGCCCCCCCCCACGCCCCCCGATGGCTACGCCACTGGTTGTAGGTCGATTGGGACGATGGTCTATCTTACTTCAAGGGTATTATTTTGATATTGTTCATAAGTCTGGCACGTTCCATGGTTATGTTGATTCCCTTTCACGTAGACAATATGACAACAATGCCTCTCAAGTTCAAGCCCCGAATGAGGACCCAATCCCAGTTGAGACTGTGCATCAGCCTCAGGAAAAGAGTCACTCGGTACCGTCCGCTGGGTGAAACGTACGAGTACAAATTAAATTATGCCGAGGATAAAGAAGCAGTTTGTTCTATCGATAACCCTGACAGTTTGACGGATCAATCCGTTGATATCCAAGCTCGCCAGCGACGCGATAGTTTCCTGAATCAGTACATTGAGTACCTAGAAAATGGTAGTTTGCCATCCGATGGGAACGCTACTAGACGCATAGTCGCCGAAGTTCAAGATTATGTCATACAGTATACAAATATTGAGTGGCTCAGCGTGGAATGGGAGGAATATTATCGCAAGGTAAAATCTTGGCTTTTCCATTTCACGAGGCGAAGCCGAGTGAACTGGAAAAGTCCAGATTTTACCGAGCGATAATATTCCTCCCATTTCACAATTTAAAACCACTCAATATTTGTTTTATATAACTGACATATAGATCCTTGTCATTTGATATATTTGAACTTTTTTTCAATACAAAACTGGAGGAAAATGTATTTCTCTCTTCCAAACCACCCTTTCACGAAAATGTTTGAACCCAACGCTGTAGCGCTGGCTCTTTGGAACAATACGCGCTACGCGCAACGCTGAATGCGCACACCAGCATGCATTTGCACACAAATACCGCGTCATGATCCTAACTGTTGAATAGTATATACAAATATTGAATGCTTCGAGTGGTGTAGTAAAACTAGCCTCCCGAGGTGATCCATGGACATTCTATTTTCCCGAGGCGAAGCCGAGGGAAAATAGAATGCTCCATGGATCACCGAGGGCGGCTAGTTTTACTTCACCACGAGATAAAGCATTCGATATTTGTTTTATAACACTTCACCCACAGATTCTGCTTGGTTATAATATTTTATATTATTTAAATCTGAACACAGTTGAAATAAACTTCAATTTCAATACAAAATTGGTGGAAAATGTATTTCTCTCTTCCAAACTACCCCTTCGCGAAATGTTTGAACCCAACTCTGTGGCGCGCTCTCTTTGGAACAAAACGCGCTGCGTGCAACGCGCAATGCGCACACCAGCATCCATTTGCACACAAATACCGCGTCGTGGAAATAGTACTTTGGTTGCTAATGGTATAGTACTTTGGTTGCTACGGGTATAGTACTTTTGGCCGTGCAAAGAAAGATAGCAAAAATAGAAAGTATCATCTGACTCGCTCTCGGCCAATCAAGACACAGAATCTGCGGGTGAGGTGTTATAATATTTCCCATTCCCCATGGGCGGATAGTACTTTTTGAGCCGCGGCATGAATGGGAGCAATAACGAATGCCACGTGATGTGAGCTCCACCAATCAAATGACAAGGATCTGTATGTCGGTTATATAAGATGGTATATTGTATTATTATAACCGACATACAGATCCTTGTCAATTGATCGGTGGAACTCAAATCACGTGACATTCGTTATTGCTCCCATTCACGCCGCAGCTCAAAAGTACTATCCGCCCATGGGGAATGGGAAATACTATTGAACAGTTAGGATCATGACGCAGTATTTGTGTGCAAATGCATGCTGGGCCCAATTTCATAGCACTGCTTAACAGTAAGCAGAAAAGTTGTGCTTACTATAGCAGAAAATCATGTTGCTGCTTATCACTATTTCATGCTAACGGTTGCACGCGCATGGAGATTTCTATTGTTACGTCATTGATTTAAGCAAAGTTTTCTTCTGGGGTTAAGCGTGCTTTTGCTGTGCTTACTGCTTAACGGTTTCCATGAAATAGATGAAGGCTCGGTAAGCACAAAGTCGGCTGTTAAGCAGCGCTATGACATTGGGCCTTGGTCACGTATGTTTCAGCCGCTCATTTAGTTTGCGCGCATGCGCACTCAAAATATGAAATACTGATAATCAGCAAACATGGATGCCTGCGGTCGCAGTTTGACCCACTGAAGTATCGGTCAACATCACGCTTGAAGAACTTTGATTAATTTTTCTTTCCACGTGGACGGGAATTTAAGGCAATCAAAGTCACTTTTGCAAACCTTAGCGCAAAAAAAAACAGAGAGTATTTGATGCATTTTTTTTGTTTTTCCGTGTCGTGTAGTACGAAAATATTGGGTCACAAATTCAAAACAGGCGACAGTTTTGGGGATAATTTTTCAGTTTTGCCGAGTAATTGTAAACTTGTCTTCACTGAAAAATGGTAAAAGATGCCATGGAAAGTGCGATGTTTAAATATCATTTAAGTCGGAAACCGTTTCAATGAGAAAAGTAAGGTCTCACGTTATACGTTTTTTCGTTGAATGTAACGTTAGTGTGCACGTACCTGTACACAGACCCTGCGGGAATCTGGCCCGTATTAAACATGGCTAGCCACGCGCCGCGCGCGGCGCTCCGTTTGTAATCTTTCGACGCGTTGGCAAATAAATGTATACATTTAACTGAAACGATTTACAACTGACTGGTTCCCGCTCCTGAAATGCAAGTACGATCACAGAGGGCACTGGGACCAGTGTATTTGTGCACGAAGCTTTCAAAATGGGTTTACTCGAAAAATGACGATTTTTATAAGCTACAGGTTTCCTTCTTACATCAAATCACCTGTAAAATGATAATAATGTATCATCCTTTCCGATGGTACTACGGCTGATCTAAGGTAAACCCGGAAAATTGTCAAAATGTGTAAACCAAAGTCAAAAGCGAAAGATTTTTTTCCTTTTCATTTTTGTACGTTTTTTGTCCATAATTATTGGTTTTTTTTATATTTTAAAAGGTTTTTAGCGCCGTTACCACACTGTAGAGACAATTTATATCTTTGTTCACTTGGTCTACTGATAATTTTTGGTTTGAATCATCTTTTAAGTACGTTTGAGAGGATACATTTTAAGACATGAAAACCAGACAATCCGGTGCGTCGTCTGTTACCGCTCTTTGCAAGCCGACTACGCGGAGGAAACCATTGCGCATGCGTGAGAAGACGAACTAAATGCACGTACGGTCTATGTGGCTGAAACATACGTGTGGTGAGCACGTTCAGCGTTGCGCGTAGCGCGTATTGTTCCAGAGCCAGCGCTACAGCGTTGGGTTCAAAATTTTCGTGAAGGGGTGGTTTGGAAGAGAGAAATACATTTTCCTCCAGTTTTGTATTGAAATTAAAGTTCAAATATATCAAATGACAAGGATCTATATGGCCTATGTCAGTTATATAAAACAAATATTGAGTGGCTTTAAATTGTGGAATGGGAGGAATATTATCGCTCGGTAAAATCTTGAGATTTTACCTTGCGATAATATTCCTCCCATTCCACGCTGAGCCACTCAATATCTGTATACCATTACTATTATCCACGCAGCAAAGGCCACCAAGTTGATAGACAAATCAAACAGTTGGTTGTTCCTACTTGCTTACACAATGACATTCTCCTTGCATATCATATTTGAATGCTTCACAGTAAAATAATTTTATATATGGAATTACAAGTATTTGTTTTCCCGATTAGTGCTTTTAGTACTCCAACTAGAGCAGGCCTAACTTGAAATGATTTTGCTGTTTCCATGCTTAAACTTCCTAGCATTGGCTACTTTTTAAACGCAGCCTACGCCCCATTAACTCCTATTTGAATTCAGTGACTTATTATAGAGTTTGTAACAGCCTAAGCAACAGAATGTTCTCTACGCATAGGGGCAAGGCAGTTAGTGCTTTTAGTACTCCAACTAGAGCAGGCCTAACTTGAAATGATTTTGCTGTTTCCATGCTTAAACTTCCTAGCATTGGCTACTTTTTAAACGCAGCCTACGCCCCATTAACTCCTATTTGAATTCAGTGACTTATTATAGAGTTTGTAACAGCCTAAGCAACAGAATGTTCTCTACGCATAGGGGCAGGCAGTACAAACATGTATAGAGATCAGGTGCCTGCAATAGCCTCTGATCGAAAGCGACTTTACCAGACATTCCAAATGTAATGAACAATTAACAGAGGTGTATTTTTTTACCAGCAATAAACGGAAAATGTGCATTATTTTACCAGTTACGTAATCATTCCGAATGATCTCGTAGCTCAGGAGATGCCCATCCACCGTCGGTACAGGAACTTGACACTTTAGTTCTGGGAAGTTCTCCTTCAAGAAGTTCAGAATGTCCACTTGAGCAGCAACCGTGCCCGGTCCGTCCGAAGTAAACTCTGCATTGAGAACTTTCAGGATAAACTCTGCTTGGTGTGTTCCTGTTTTCTGGCCCTCATTTTCAGAGGTCAAGAAGGTAGAGAAGGAAGAAGGGGAAGCCCTCGCGTAGAATGTTCTGTCAGTGTAGCTATTGCACTCCTTGATCACGTCAGGATAGATCGAGTATAGTCTGACCAACAATGCTTGCACGTCGTCCACCGTCACATAGGGCTTAGGCCACAGCGTGCAGGGACTATGTATTTGTGCCTCCGAGTCCGTCATGGTCGGTGTCATCGGTCAGTAATACTGATATACAGTATAATGCACGTATATATGAAGAACTTGTCTAGTATGGTGCAGAAATTCAACACGCCAAGACCAGCGGCCTCGATACGATACATCCAGTCATTTGCAGTTTGTATACACTTCTTTGAGGCCGTTGCTCTGTGCACAATTAGTGACCGGTGTCACGGTCTCACTTCTCCGGCGTGCTGGCTTCTCCGCAGAGGGAAATTTCGCCTCAACACGCATGCGCAAATTGCGCAGTAGTGTACATTTCCGCCAACTTTATTGTGTGCTGAGTTCTTTGGGGTTGTACTGGTGCACGTGCGATCTTAGGATATTTGTGTGTATACGTTACAAGGTACCAGTCGAATCCAGAATGTTCGTGGCGCGCACAACTCCCAATACATGTAACCAAAAAACTTGAAGGGTAGCACAGACCAAGGAGCTCGTTCTTAATTATTCCTCCATGAACACACACACACACCCACACAGATTCTGGAATTTGTATTCCTGTGGAGACATTTCTTTGTTCTCGTGTAGTAAAGTTTTCGAGTTTGAAATTGAAGTTTCAAAATGCTCTTATTTTAACCAGAATTAATTTCCTGGGCTGAAATTTGGACTAAATATCCCTTTTCTAAAACTCTTCCATTTGCGACAAATCAACCTACCTTGGAATTTCCTAGTTTTTGAGTAAAACCCATATATCTATTTCGTGAAATTCTTGTGGAGACGTATTCATCTATAGAAATGTTCTTCTGGAGACGTATACAATCTTTTGTTCCCTATTGTGTTTATGTCTCCGTAAGGTAGTAAATTCCAGCACACACCCCCACACACACAAGTTTACGTTACATACCAAGTGTGGACTTTCCATTGCTTTCGTGTAGTTAAGAAAAACCAGTGAAAAAAACTCATTTTTCTCAAACTGTGAAAACTCTTTCAACCCAATTTTTTTTCTATGATTCCCTTTAGTGTTTCTCTTCATTCTGCTACAAATAAACCTAACCCAAAAATGCCTCTAAACCTGTTTTCCAGAAATGGGGAAACACTGTGTGGACGTGGGGTAAGTCCACACAACGTCGGTGCTACCTACATTATGTGGACGTCTTTTGTTCGGAAGTCCACACTGCGTATGTAAGACAAACTCACACGTACGACGCTGGGTACACAAAATGTGTGTGCTTGCAAGACAGAATGCAATGACCATACTCCTCTCTATAAGCTCAATAGCTTGACCCACAGGAAGTGTTACATAACACATTCTTGGGTGTCCCTCACTGTGTTACATATGGACTTGTAGACTTCAAAACAGCCCGAGGAAAAGTAAGCACAGCGGACACATGAGCATGTATCGTGCTCATGTAACGTGCACTGTAACGTGCTCAATGGACCGATCCAGTAAGCACCGCCCCATGGTATTCTGACCAATCACAGCCGTGATTTATGTCCGACATGCGTGCACAAAAGTCCGACATACGTGCACGCGCGCGTATGCGCGCGGCAGGAAAATGCAGTGTGGCATTGGAGAGGAGCACGTGTTAATTTGCCCACGTGCGCACTGGGCGGGGCTTACTGGATCGGTCCATTGTCCACCGCATTCACCCGGAGAATCTAGGGGTGCAGACCAGTAAATCGGTCCGAAATTGCCTGCGCCGGCCAAATCACGATTTGCATGCCCTCAAAATCTTCGGTATTTGAGCATGCTGTGGGCCATGAACTTGAGGGTTTGTAAAAAATATGGGTGGAAGCCGTGCACAGGACTGGGAGCTTGCAGTTCTGTGTAATTTTGATGTAATTTGGACCCTAAAAGCGCTCTATTTTGCAATGGAGTGTAGGCATCGTTTTTCAAAATGGCGATGGGCTTCAGGACTATTTTCAGGGGTGATCATCTTCAGATGGAAATTTCTCCTAAAAGTCATCAGTTGACCCCCAAAAGTTGAAAAGAAAATGAAAGATGATGAAATAAGCTTTAATTTGATGTGTGTCTCGAACACCTTGGAGAGTTGTGAGTATTTTTCCCGAATTTTTGAAGTGGGAGCATTTACCATTGGGGTCTATGGAAGTTTATTTACTGGTCTGCTACCCTAGCACGCCGGAGAAGTGAGACCGTGACACTGTTCGAGAAAAACCAAAATGACATCGTCATACATCATGAATATTGGATTTGATATTGAATATTCATTTATCAGATGGATCCGCCCATACAGTTTCGCCGCGAATTTTAACGACTAGGCTATGTGTTGACATCGTATTGTGCGGTACCTGTAATCCGGAAGATCATCATGCTGAAAATAATCCCGAGTCCGCTGTCAAATTGACGGTATCCTGGGAGTGGTTTTACTAGACTAAGGACGATCTGTAACTGACTGTGTATCAAAAATTATTTGCTTTCAGTGTATTTCCGTGCACTCATGTTTGCAAGATAATTAAATCAGACCATTTTGTAGGCAGCCATTTTTAAAAAAAATTTAGCACGTTTAATAAGTTTGCACATGACGTACATGTAGGCTAGGGCCAAGGAATTTTTTCAACCTACACGGTTGCTGTAATTTTAAAGATGACAAAACTATGACCAATTTTTTTCTGTTTGTAAGGTTAAGTACATGTAAAACGTTTCTCAAGTTTTATAGTATTTATTTAGGCCCTATTATTATTATTATTTTTTTTGGGGGGGGTGTTTTTAAAATTAACTTTCAAACAGGAAGAATTATTGTGTTCTTGTGAAGATAACAAAAGTATATGCATAAAATACGAGCCCTTTAAACGTACCAGCCCACTCACTTCAATTCAATTCTGTGACATTTATTTCGTGCATCCGATTAAATGAACAAGCTGCAAAATTGTTCGGAAAAATATATGCACCAGGGTTAGCTGTAAAAAAAAATTAAAAAGAAACAATTTTTGTACCAGGTATTGTAAAAAATAAAAATTAACTTAAAGAGTTTTTGTATAAACGACAATGACGATATCTTTAACGTACCAGTTCAACGGTGACATGACATGTACATGTACATGTAGTCCATAATAAGTAGGCCTATACCCCTGTTTTCCGACCGAAAGGTTGCATTTGCAACCAAAATGACTTGTTTTTCCACCAAAATGACATATTCCCACATGTTTTTAGTGTTTTCCGAGAACCAAAATGGTGTGTTTACCCAACCAAAATCACGAATAATCCACCAAAAAAACATGCCCGTCCACCAAAATGACATGTCATCCGCCAACCAAAATGATGTGTTGTCAACCAAAATGACATGTTTTATTCCACCAAAAAAAAATGTGTAGCCCACCAAAATGACGTGTCGCCCACCAAAATGACGTGTTCCACTAAAATGAAATATGTAGCCGTCACCAAAATGACATGTCGCCCACCCAAATGAAGTGTCGTCAACCAAAATGACGTGTTGTCAACCAAAATGACATGTCTTCCACCAAAATGTGTCGCCCACCCAAATGTTGTCGCCCACCAAAATGACGTATCTTCCACCAAAATGACATGTAGCCCACCAAAATGACGTGTCGCCCACCAAAATGACGTGTCGCCCACCAAAATGACATGATGTAATTCCACCAAAATGACGTACGTACCTGTCGTCAACCAAGATGACGTGTTCCACAAAATGACATGTAGCCCCTAAAAAATGTGGTGTCGCCAACCAAAATGACATATATCACCAACCAACATGACGTTTCACCCACCAAGACGACGTGTTCCACATAATTGATGTGTTGCCAACCAAAACGACATTTCGCCAACCAAAATGACGTACGTGTCGTACGTCCACCAAAATGATGTGTCGTCCACCAAAATGACGCGTCGCCCACCGACCAAATGGCATGTCTTTATATAGAAATGTCATAGACTCATTTCTTCATGCATGGTGTAAATAAATCCACCAACTAAAATATAGTCTCGTCAACATGGAGGAATGGTCTCAAACGCAAAACCCAGTGCCAAACTATAGGTTGGATTTCATTAACTTCTTTATTAGATAATTTTGTAATATTAGGCAATATACAATACAGGCAGATAGGCCAATTCCCTTTAACATTTAATGGGCCTAAATTCATTACTTCTACTTCATTCGGACTCGTTCAGTCACGGAGAAAAGGTCCGTAGTTCAGTTTGTGGAGGATCATCGATCAGGAAGCCAAGCACACCATACCATACATGTCTGTACAGCAAATTTTACGTTATAAATATTCACACATGACGACATGTAAATTTTCATATTTGAATATGCACAAGGTATGACGATATGACGATGTTATTTTGGTGGTTCTCCATAAGTGCTTACCTTAGTGACCACTTCCCAATCAGCTGCGTGACTCAAGCTAGACTTGGCCTAGACTTGGCCAAGTCTGGGTTGCGCTCGGCTGTATCTAGATGTGCGCATAGCGCATACGTACCAGCCTCGACTCCATGGGTGCGTGCCTGTTCCTTCACTAACTATTTTATTTATGCTTTTATCACATTATTTTTCCCAGTTTTTTTACCATTTTTGGCGGCCATTTTGGCCGTCATCTTGGATTTCCTATACGCATGGAATTTTTTTTTTTTACTGTTAACATCCAGAATGTGTTTTAGGACCTTACAAGGCACCCAAATAATTAGTGAAAGTAAGTTGGGGGGGGGGTGCACGGGGGTCCCCCATACATACTCAACTAATGGCGCGTATGCACGCGCTGCCGATCTAGTCTTTTTATTCTATATCTAGGGTGAGGAGTGGAACAGAAACTACGGGTCGTAAATTACTGCCCTCGTGTCGGGGCAACGTTGTCAAACACTGTCTTTACTTAACCTCAATTGTATTCAGGTTACCACAATTGGTGTTGTGTTTCTTATTGATAAATTAATTAAGACCTCAAAGGTCGGGAATCAGAACTCTACAATGCAACAGTATCCCCAAGACCACTTGCTTTGTGTAGCAATTTTACTGAAAGATTATCTACGCAGAACACATGCCATATGGTGCCAAAAGAAAACTGTTTTTCTAGTTATGAAATGCCCTAGCTACAAAAAAAGTTGGCGCACAAACAATCTCCAGGTGGATAAAATCAACGCTTGGACAAGCAGGTGTAGATACTAACACCTTCTCAGATAGTGGAAAAAAGGGGTTATCGTGCACCCTCGGAAATCAACTTCTAATTGACGTCTTTAGATCAGAAAAAATGCGTAGAAAACGATTTGCTACGTTAAAAATTCAAAAAATGTCCCACGTATTGTTTTTATGCAAATTAGTGCCGCCTTACCGAAAAATCCATTGTTCACTATATCTCAGCCAATATTACAGATAACTGAACAAATTAGGTGTCTAAACCTATGTTTTCAAGGTCAGAGATCACAATAAAACTATTCTGGAAGTGACCACATGTGATCTGTGGCATAGGAATATGCAAATTAGTGCCGCTAATAACGGAAAATCATGTTTTTGGCATATCTCGGCCAATGATAGCACATAACTACACAGGTAAGGTGTCTAAACC